CTTAACGTCAAAAATTAGAGCGGAAAATATGATAACAACCAGTAGGTAGTTTATATTTTAAACTTTATTTCGTAGCTGTACATCTTTTTTACCAAATTGATTGATCGTTTCGAAACAAGGTTTAATTTTCCACTACTGACTTAAGTATGGAAATATTGACATACATTAATAAAAAATATCATATGCAACACAGTAAGTGAAAGTGGTTTCAAACAACGTTGGTATTAAAGTCCGGGGAGTGACTCAGCCAGGGTTACAAAGGTCTAGATAATGAATGAGGTCACATAAGGCGGGGCTCAGGTGACAATGTTGCTAACTTTCTGCCAAGTGGGCGAACTTTCTTTCAATAGATAAAATCAGCGCAAGTAAAACCTGTCGGTTTTAATTTGAAAGTGACTTATGTGATTAGTCATGATACTTAAGGTTGTTGCGACGGCTATCCTATATCCTATACTATCCTATACTCTTATATGAGAAATATTTGCTTATATGCGTGTATGTATGTATGTTTGCTTGCACGAAGATCCTGAAAACGGCTTCGACGATTTTCTTCAAATGTTGTAGATTTATGTTGGTCTAAAAACGTGTTTACTGCAAAAATGTGGCAAAAAAATTAATTACGTAAAACATGTTATTGAAAGTTAAAATGTCTTAACAATGGCCTTATGGATTGCCATTAACCTTGTTGGTTGCACAAAATAACAAGGGAAAAGTAAACAAAGGACTTGTAGCACGTGTTTATAACAAGCCATCCACAGTATACTAGCAAATTACAGTACAAAGGGGGTACTATTGAGCAAAGATTAGGCTTACACTGAAGATTATTCGATATTGGGGTACAATGGAAATCAACTTTACCGAGACATGGCTCGATCCCTAGGTTCTGAGAGATAAACTGGAAAATATCTCTCAATATTCTAACATCAATATTTGTTTTTAACTGTTTACGAACTCAGTATTCTAAACTGTTATACTTATATAAAATTGCATTAAGTTATTCTAAGGTACTGTTTAGTTGTTTTAGAGTATTGCACAACTGCTGCTTAATATTGAACAGTGTAGGCCTGTATTTATATGTTGTAATTCACCGACAACGTCGTTGCTCAATACTGTTTGGTATTGTACATAAATGCACAGTTGCTATTTTTTATCGCTCAGTTGTTCCTTAATAGTATTCACAATTGTTCAGTTGTTGCTCAGTTGCTGCTCTGTATTGCACAGTTGTTCATCTGTACCATACCAGAGAATAATACTCTTGTACAGTTGTTACTCAATACTTTTTACTTTTTAGTACCGTACAGTATTGCACATTTACTCATCGACATTTTACAGTGTTGCTGCTCTGTATCGCTTAGTCGTTCCTTAATATTGTACAGTTGTTGTTAAGTATTACAATACTTAACAACAACTGTACAATATTAAGGAACCCAGTACCGTACAGTATTGCACATATACTTATCGGAATTTTACAGTCCTAAAGAGTAATGCTGCTACTCTGTACCGCTTCCATTCCTTAATAGTGTACAGTTGTTGTTTAGTATTGCACAGTGTGTATAGTTGTTGTTCAGTATTGTACAGTGTGTACAGTTTTTGTCCAGTACTGTACAGTTTGTACAGTTGTACCATTGTACAGTTGTTGTTCAGTATTGTACAGTGTGTACAGTTGTTGTTAAGCATTGTACAGTGTGTACAGTTGTTATTCAGTATTGTACAGTTTGTACAGTTGTACCATTGTACAGTTATTGTTCAGTATTGTACAGTGTGTACAGTTGTTGTTCAATATTGTACAGTGTGTACAGTTTTTGTTCAGTATTGTACAGTGTGTACAGTTGTACCATTGTACAGTTGTTGTTCAGTATTGTACAGTGTGTACAGTTGTACCATTGTACAGTTGTTGTTCAGTATTGTACAGTGTGTACAGTTGTTGTTCAGTATTGTACAGTGTGTACAGTTTTTGTTTAGTATTGTACAGTGTGTACAGTTGTTGTTCAGTATTGTACAGTGTGTACAGTTGTACCATTGTACAGTTTAGTACGAGGTCGGAGGTCCCGTAATGGGCGTCTGAATGTTTGTCTTCAATTATCACACCTTGTCAAACACTCCCCGGTTCTGTAACCTCTCTTTTGCAGCTGTGTGACTTGCTTCTTAAGCTTGTTCAAATATTTGTTGAATCTAACATTTCTGTAGCGAGTAATTAAGCATTCAAGTGGTCCCAGTTTAGGCATATCCACGAACTAATTGCGCAAATAAACTCAATTTCTATAGTGAAGATTTATTTCTGGCCTTCCTCACCTTTATCCATAATCCATAATGTACGTTAGGTAGTAACAAGACCAGGGTTTGGACCGTTCCCTTTCAAAACGTAAAAAATGCAACTGACGTAAAAACACACAAACATAAAATAAAAATCCTTCAAATGTAGTATTGCATAAATTTTATCCTCATTCTCTTGAATAACAACATTTATTTGACACCTGTCGTCTATTGACGTTCAAGATGAATGCAGCTTTCCAGCTATTTATCTTGGACTACCATATTTTAACAGTTAGGCGATAAATATTAAATTATATTTTATTTGTAATGACCACTGCCCACTAAGACACTGATACAAGTTTATCACTAGGTTTATTTACATTCCTCACAATAATTAAGACTACAGTAGTTCATGCCTTCACACGAGTCTCTTGATCACCTCTTTACAGCTTCAACCATAAAGTAAAACAGAACATGGATATAAAGCATAAATTTTACAACATCACCTCAGTAGTTCTACTGATATGTTGGCTGTAAAACGGCTGTTGGTATGTGGCGTTGTAAGGTCTAACGACCCAAGTATAAAACAAACGCCTACATAAAAGTATCGAGAAGAAATGCCTCCAAGCCTTCGCGTGTAGTCTACTTTCACCTGATGTTGAACTTGAACCTTGGCACAGCAAAGTCTCGGGTCGCTGAACTAGAAACGTTTAACGCTACTCTGCATTCTTGCTGGCTTTTAAAATCTATGCAAATGTTGAGTAGATTTAATTAACACTGTTAGGTTGACTGGTAGATTAATAGTCGTTTGGAGCTACTTTGTGTGCTGATTACGTAATCGCTTAATCTTTAAAATTATATACGAGTACTTCAGTTTGAATTTCGGATTAACTTTTAGTAGATGGGGTGCAAATTATACGTTAGCATTGTACGATTCTTTAAACTGTTGTTCTTTATCTATAGTTACAAAAAAAGTACTTGTCGTGTTATCTAACAAAATGTCCAAGCAGCAAGGACATTCTTCTGTAGAAAATGCTTAGTTGTTCTTATAGTAGTACTACAAGGATGTTTTAAAAAAGTCAATGATAAGTCACACATGGAAAGCCGGGACCATTTGAGAGATTATAAAACGAACTATAAAATACACTTTATTGAACGTCGATGAATTTATATACTTTCGGCCGTAATGTGTCAAATTCAAACTTCAATCTAGTGGATATCTTTTCATACAATTATTTGGGTCTCTTATTTTCGTAAACAAAATTTCCAATGCTGCATAACCTAATAAAGCTAAATATACACTAAGGGGAATGTTTCAGGACATTAAGAAAACATTTAAATTAGCCTCTTGAAGACATGGTAAATTTAAGACGTTTTCTGAAGACCTGGTTAAAAATGTTGTTAATCACAATTTATCAATAACATGAGGCGCCTTGCTATGATTATGACTTGATAGTTTGAACCAACGCTACATGTGTAAAGAACAAAAATTACAGCTCCCCATTAAAGAGACAAGAGTTTGTTGCCATCCACTTCATAAATGTTGGGAAACGAGTTGGTGTAGTGGTAGAGCGCCGAATTTCAGTCCCTGAGGTCCTGGGTTTGATTCCAACCAGTCGCTACTGGATTTTTATTTAAATGATGATGAGACCCCCTAGACCTAACCTGAAGTTATGTGGAAAACGAACTTCGGGGTAGAATCCTAGAGAAATAAAATAAATGCCATATTTTTTACATCAACATCCACACCGAAGAAATCTCAATCACGCCCAGTACCCTCCCCTCTCTCTCTCTCTCTCTCTAAAAAAAAGAAACATACACGTCCAAGACTAATCTGTAGGCAGACAACTCTTGGCAGACTAAATCCGAAACTATCTGCAAAGCTCGAAATCCTCAGAAACTACAGTGAACCAAAGAACAAAAGAGCTTTCACTAGCTAAAAATAGATTCGCTCACTATCTCGGAAACTATCTCAAGCTCAATCTCACCTCCAAATCTCTATTGGCCGATTACAAGGATCCGTCGTGACCATCTGGGTGATCCTCTCACACCTAGGTCTTTGTCGGCGCTTCCTGGCCGTGGCGATCGAATATCGGCAACCGGCGATACATCGGTCATTGACCTGGCGGCCTCGTGCTCTGCCTCCTGATGACACATTGCCTCGGGCACCTCCTCACCCTCCTCCGTCATCGATCACGTGTGTTGACGTATGTTGACTGTGTGTGAGTGAATTGATCACAACTATCTTGGCTAGAGAAATTATCGTTAGGTGGAGTTTTAGGTATCCATCACCACCCTGGTATTTTAGGTTACCACCAATAGTTTTTAAGGTGTTCCTGAACGCTAGCACCGTTTTGGTTGAAATTGATTTTGGAATTGAGTGCGTAGGCGTAAATACTTTTGTCCTCTCAAAATTCTCTTCTTCACCACCCAACAATCAAATTGACGTCTGTTTACTGCGTGTTTAAGTGAATTTATCACTGAAAGTCTGTCAATGCTAGAGAAAATAACCAATTTTCTGTACAAACATTTCCAATACACAATAATCTTAACTCGAACAGTCCTCGACGTTTTACATTTAAACATTTGTACATGGAGTAAAAGAAAAATATATGCATATGTCCAGTGCTCATATTACGAATTCATTTCACATTCTACAAGAAGGATGTCCTATACTCAATCAAAGGTCTTTAATATATAATCTTACTTTTCAAGAGATTTATTTATTGATTTTCCTGCACCTCCAGGGGATCCTGATCGCCGCTCTCACGGTGGTAGCGTCCGCCACCCCCTACTACTACCCCCAGCAGCGACAGCTGTTCTACCCTGTACCACAGTACTCGCAGTACCCACAGTACTACCAACGACAGGTGTACTACGCTCCACACTCTGCAGCTAACCTTGTTTCGTAAGTATTGTCAAAGCTCGATGTGAAAAAATAGCTTGTGTTTCAACAATATTTGGATTACTTAGCCTGTTTGCATCTTCTCTAGCTTAATTACGTTGAACGAATTGGACCAAATCATATCACTATAATTATTTTTGTTCAACACTTTTATTACTTGTAATCCGTTTGAGATGGTACGCAACTGGGAGTAACATTATTGAAGAATAAGTAGCAGTAGCTTACATAGTTACTGGTTAAGACGAGCCATTATTTAGCCAGGACAGTTTACAAAGAGCCCAATGATCAAGTAGGGCTGGGCTCAGGTTCAAAACACAAGAAAGTATGACTTTTCTGAAGATCAATCCGAAAACCTGTGACTTGTTAGGCAACACTAAAACCAAGCTGTTAAAAGTGTAACTGGTAGCTTCATCTGTAAATAGCTCCAAGAAAGGAAAATTGAACTAGAATAAATTGTAAGGGCATGATATAATCACAATCTTCAATTTTGGAAGCGAGCTCTCTAACCAATTAGCTAGTATTATATGGCATTAATAAACACTTGTTGAATCTTATGGCATGTTCATTGGGCGTCAAATAATAAAATACTCATTGGTCAAGAGGATATTAGGTGTTTCTTTCATTTAGTTTTCCATTTGTCTCATATCTTGTCTTCACGGGTATCAACATAATCCGTTCTTCAAAGATGTTCCGACCAGACGCCGGTCTTTTTTCAATCCCAGTTCTTGCTCGTTTTTCGTCTGATCTTTAGTCTCGCTGAAGCCCGATTGTTGCGTAACCACTTTTTGCGCATTGCCCTTGAAACATTAAACGTGCTTGAAATATTATTAGACGCATTGTCTTCACGGGATGATGAGATATTTCCTCATGCTTCAGTAGACATAAGTAATGTAGGTCTTCTCTTTGTTCTGGCCATATTTTAGGAGCTACATTTAGGAGGGTCTTTTGTAGTTATTTTGTATTATTAACAAAACTACATTACTAAATAACTAAATACATTATATCTCTGTGCTATTCCTCAACTTAGTAAAATAATGGTAGTATCAGAAAAGATATTCTTAGTATCAAAGTTAAATTTACGACTTAAAACTTTACTCCAAGAACCCTCTCGATCGAACTTAAAGAAGTACTAAGATGACGTATGAAAGAACGTGAGACACGTGAAAATGATGTTTATGCTCTGAAAAGGTAGCAGGGCTACAATTGAATGTATTTTATACTCACCTCTTACTAAGCATTGCGTTCAACTACGTACCATAACGTGTCGTTACATTACAGCAATGAGCTTAATACCCAAGAAATTCATTAGATTTCGTAAGCCTTTTGAAACGTCTAGCTAAGACATGTCATTAGATGAGTAGAGTCTAAACTTAGGGATTTTAATCTATACATTTCCTGCTAGCTACAGTTACTCACCTAGTTAGGAGATGTCTCTAGATGTACAGAATCTAAACATCAGTCTGTTAAAACTTTGATTTTATAAGTTTCTCACCACTGAGCTATGATAGCAGTTACACAGCTTACATGTCTAAGCTACATTATGATCAGACCTATTCAGGATTTGGCAAATTACTCCTCTTTTAGCTTCTGCTAAGTTGAATCATCACTTGAGACATTATGTAATCCTGAGTTTAAAACTCACTATTTTAAGACTTTCCTCAGTATTTTACATAAGCATCATTACACCTCTGTGCAGGCCAGTCCCAGCAGTACGGTACCCTGTGGGGGCGCCCCCAGCCAAGTCCGTGGTCTACTACGGAGCGCCCGCCTTGGCTCCCTACCCCAGCAACCTGGTGTACGGCGCTGACGAGGGTGCAGAGGAGGGAAGCTACTTTGGAACCTTCTTGGAGAACTTCACATCTCACTTACCAGCAATCTGGCCCGGCTTTGGCAACGAGGCGGAAAGTGGTAGTGGTGAGTAGGGGACTTAAAGTCAAGCAAAAGGAAACCTAGATGATATACATCTATACCTATATCAACGAAGGAAGGTCGTGCTTACGGATATTGGAAGAAAGTAGTGTTTATGGCATAAAATGACTTTACCTTGCTACACCTATTATTGGACTGTTTTTATTCATAATCCGTAAAAAACAAATACACTGATTCGCTGATGGACATTAGTCAATCAATGAGCATGAAGTAATGGTAACATGGAACTTGCCATGCTGGTTTAATAATACAAGGAAATCTTTCTAAACTGCCTGGTTTTAATTAGAATGAGAGTTAGTGTATCTATGCGGGGTTGCCATGATAAGTTAACCAAAGTCTATTTAAAACCGAGAGCATTTCAAAGTATCTTTTTTATGGAAATCAAAAATTTTGATAAAAAACTTAATGCTCTTTTAATTGCACTAGAGTCAAACGATCTTAAGTATTTTGTATTACTTAAAAGTGTTTATGACTCTTGAACAAGTAATCATAAAGAATCAAGGAGAAGAAGGAAGTCTGTATATTTTCCATATTTTTACTATTACAATGTAGATTTACAAACATTATGAATCATTTAGGTACCTCCTGGAGAGGGGTCTAGGGAGAGCACCATAACTTGATTACACATTTTGAAAATTTAAGTTAATCCAGTGCAAAACATTTTTTTAAACACAAAAACTAATAAAAACTAATAAGCACTATTTTGAGAATTACAACAAGGACAGATACGTTAACTTAAAAATCAAAGAGGCTGTTTTTGTTTGACACGAAATTAGTAACAAAAGTGAAGTAAAATTACCAAGTCCAAGGTTTACTTAAGTTTTGCTTCGATTTAATTTGTCGTATGTGTTGGTTCCAGCTGCCGAGGGAGGTTCAAGTCCTGCTGCAAGTCCTGAGAAGATCGAACAAGCGTCCAACAGCGAGAAACCTGCCAAGGAGGGTGAGGAGAAGGAGAAGGAAAACGAAGCCGAAAAACCCCAAGATCCTTCAAAGGTGCAAAAGGTAAATAAGGAACGTGGTCTACCAAATATACCAAATATACGACCTATTTGTGTTAATATGATAGACACTTTGTCAACAATTTTTACTTTGGGGAGTAATTCTGACAAAGCATTTGAGTAAATCGACATGGTTAATGACATTTCATCATATGCATATTGCAGTTGTTTTCAATCATTCATGACCTTAAATAGTAATATTTATGATTATGGCCATTAAGGTATATCAGGTATAATTGAAAATTACAAAACTGTCACTACAACATATCTTTTATGGCATATAAGTGTTGGTGAGAACAGAAAAATATTCTATGTGCCATGATTTAATGCTTTCACAACAACACCCTGCAAAAATTGTCAAAGTAAGCTATTTGGTATAACTACTAAATTTTTTTTAAGTAATTGTCCACACTCTTACTATTATCCTGTTACTCTCGTCACATTCTTAAATGTTAAGTGTAAAAATTGTTTCATGATTTGTTCCTGATGGCAAGAGACCCTATAACGTTATTGTAAACTAATGTATTTGCACTTCGCTTCCTCTTTATAGGTAAAAGGAGCGGTAAAGGGAGTCCCCCAGAAGTACGTAGTGTTGGGTCAGCCTCAGTTCTTCGGCAACTTCGGACTCCAGAGAGTCAACCCAGCTGCAGTTCTGCCAACCGCTAACCAGGGTGCAGTCTCCAGCTACCTGCTGAGGAACTACCCAGGACCTCAGTACAGGCTTGGCCCTCAGTTCCCGGTTTACCCCCAGCCCCCTCAATTTGCTCAAGCACCAGTTATCCCTCAAGGACCCCAGACTGCTCAGGCACCTCAGGTACCTCAGGTAAAAAGTTATTTCTTCTCCGTGTACTTAAAAGATTGTAATTCTTAAATCTTAATAGTTAATATCAATTGAATACTTAAACTAAAAGGCTTGATGGAAGGGGCTGACTGTTAAAAAAGACTGGAAGTTCGATTGTAAAATAACCATTTAAAACTTCAGCATGAATAAATTAAATCGATTTCTTCAATCTGGCAACACAGAGAATCAATAAATTGATATATAGTACTCATTCCACCTACTTTTGCCAAAGTTTTTCTGTGAAATTCCGAAAAATTAACTTCTCATATTAGATCAGAGCAAAGAAAGCTTCTTGAGAAAAGGGTACCAATAAAGCAATTCCTTTGTTGAATTACAAAAAAAGCTACTAAAAAGGCGACTTTTTTTAATTTTTAAACCAGCTAGTATATTGCTATGAATCCTTAAATAATCCAACCCGATTTTATATGATTCATACTGCTTGACGTATCACATGAATACAAAGATGCTTGCTGAAAATACGTGGTAATATTCTGTCACCAAATATTTTTGTTCCAGTGTGCACAATCAATGGTTAAAGATAAATTTCCTCTTACGTTGTGAGGCAAAAAGATTAACTTGTTTTTCATACAGTACTAAACTAATCTCTTTAACTTACCTTAGATCTTACAGTTGCAGATCCTCTTTAATCCGAACCCTGTAATACGAACGTCCACTAATCCGAACACCTCACTGCTGTACTCTATACACAGTACAGTAGTTCTTTATTGTATTCTGTATTTATTGATATACGCACCATAATTATTTCAATCGTAATGTACAGTACTGTTTATTCCCTACGTTTACTACTGTATTCAATAAACACTGTATTTTACTTTATAAAGTAATTTTCACTTTTCCCTAGTATTCCCTATTATGTAAAAACAAAAATAAGTTCTGTAATCCGAACTATTCAATAGTTCGAACTACCCCCGGTCCCAATTAGTTCAGATTAAAGAGGTTCTACCTACTCTTTCTCTTTACTTGACTCCTTTTCTCCAACGTTTTGCATTTCTTCTTCAGCCCCTCCAACAAAGTTCTTTTTGGATTTGAACCACCAGCGGGGGTTTTACACCAATACTTAGACACTAACCCATGTGTGTTGGCACTAATCATCCTTCATGACTTCCTTCCAATTGAAAGCTGTCCATACTTTGTTTTCTCTTGCCATTTTCTACCTATATTCCAAAGCAAGTTTGTCATAATTCACCATGTTCCTCAGGCCGCTGACAACCCCGAAGCCGAACTGATCCCTGCAGGACAGCCAGGCGCTGCCGCCCTTGGTTACCAGAAGCTTCTGAAGGAGGCGGCGGCGGAGGCGGCGAGGCAGAGCAAGGAGTACGACGACGCTTCAGTCTCCGTGGAGGCGGCATCTCAGGACTCCCAGGACGACAAACCGGAGGCGAATTCTGACGACTCGGAGGATAAGAACGAAGAGGAGACCGGTACTAGCGATTAGGCCCATGTACATACCCGACTGTTAGATTCCTGTGCCAACTCTCAATAAACTTAGTCTTTTACAATAGTTCTTTGTTTCTTCCATTACCTTTTCGGGATTCAATTGCCAGTACAATTATCATCCGTGATTTCGCAAAGTATTTTCATATCAGTCAATTGAGTTTGTTTATTTGCTTTGAGTTAAATTCTTTTTTTGAACTACTTCGTCTAGTTTTCCTTTGTATTTTGACTACAAATCTGTAAATCTGTAAAGCTTTCAGTATTCTGTATTCAGTAAGGAACGCAGAAAGTTCCAACATTTTACGGTCTTAAAATTTGATGCTGTAAGTGTAGTAAAGCGAGATAGTGCTACGAAAGTAAGTGCTTTTGAATTAATCTACCTTTGACTTAGTTTGGGAAATATATAAATTTATTCACAGTTAAGTGTAGTACGGATTTCAGAGAGCATTTGATTTAAATCCATACTATAGCGATTATTTAATTTTTCAAACAGCAAGTTAGTTGGAGAGTTGAGTGAAGCTGGAAGATGACTTGCATGATGACAAAGGGATCTCAGGTACTGGTTTCATTCTTCTTGGTCTATCTTTTTTAATTTAGTTTCTCATAGTCATATTAATTTGACCCTTATGATAGGTTGGAGGGTTTCAATAATGTAAGTTTGAAAATCCTTTGATCTTTTCCATATTTTAGAATAGTAAATACGGTTGTGAATTGGAATTTAAATATTTTCTCTTAGAATAGTTTTACTAAATATGATGCATTTTAGTTGTTAAGTTGTCTTCATTTTTTTATAACATTTTCACTAAAACGTGTACAATATAAATAAACACTCTAAAATGTAAAATGTTTATCACTTCCGTTAACAATGCTAAACATATAAACATACCTTGTAAAGTCAAAATAGGGTAACATGGTTAACGAAAAGATTATTAATAGTAAATTAGTAAGTTTAATTTACTTTAAATTACTAGGCAATTATCAAAACTATATAATTCAAACAAAAACTGTTTTATGATAAACTGATTTCGAGGGTGGTGACAAAATCTGTTCTGTTTATTGTATTGAAAAATGTTTCTTGAAACTGGATACAATAATTCATGGTATTATATTACATCTGACAAAAACGATTTCCTTTTGAAATGCTGAACACCAAATTATCTTTAACATCTCACTCATTGTCAAACTATTCTTTAGAGCAGTTCAATTAAATTATTTTATCACCACCGTTTAACACTAATATTATGCTGTTCCGGTCTATTTACCAACAAAGTATATCACACAAAGAATTCTGGAGGCCACAGTACACGGGTTCCTAAATCAAGGTTTATCCTTAGATCCTCCGTATTTTCTCGTATCCTGCAAGGTTTGACCCTTTCTTTCATTAACGACCTTCGCGGTTTAAACCAATGAACCTCACTGTTTAGGTTTGGTTACACACTTACAATTTGAAGTGCTTCCTTCACATAGGTTGTATTGGTAATGGTGATTTTACTTGTATGGATTATCTATTAGAAAAATTTAATTGTTAGTGGACAGTACTGGTATGAGGGATATTGCATAGGTTTGATCGAGAATATCTTATCCATGTATCTGCCCTGAAGTGTCAAAATCTATCCATTTATCGTACGTATGTGGATATCGTTATCATGACTGTGCATAAAAATGTTAAATAAAAATAGTACTGTATCAAAGTTAGTTAAATTAGTCATTAACTACTAACATTTACGTGTAACTTATTAACTTATATCAGCTCCTTATAAAAATTCCGAACCTAAAATAGTTCTTCTAAGTTGTTTTCAACGTTAATTTTTCCAAGCGGTTGTAGTTAGATACGAATAATGAACAACGAATTTTTTTCCTCAAAAATAAACATTTGACAAAAGATTTCATGAAAGCTTTCATCGTCATAGTCAGCTGAATTTCTCATTTTCAAATCCGCAAAGTTAAGTATTTAAGTATCGGTGCGTCAATACAGGCAAGAATAAATTATCAACTCTCTAGGTTAACCCTTGGGTTGTACTAGTTGCTGTCTGTGGATTCACATTACCTGATTCATTGCTGTTTTGGTTCAATAATTACCTCAATATAGGAAAACTACCCGTAAAACATACCAGTTTATTTTTACAACTTAGAATAATGATTAAAGGAAGAAAAATGTCATGCATGATTTGAATCAAAAATCAATTAATTTTAACCTATTGATTTGGTAATTTTGTTTCTAGGTCCGACCATAGCCCAGGCCAAGCCCAAGGCTATCGCTTTGGCAGGCCCGGGGGGCGTGGCAGCAGCGGCTCCAGTAGGGACAGCCCTGGTAGGTCCAGGGGGGATGGCCATCAGTGCTCCGGAGGCAACAGCTGTGGCGGGAGCCAAGGGGGCGACGTCCTCTGGAGCCATCTCTCCAGCAACCACGAAGGCAGCGTCCAAAGCAATCAGGACCAACCACCTGGCCAGACGGAACTACAACTTTCTGCTCAACCTGTGATAATCGTTTAAGTAATGACTCGTTAGAGTATAAATGATAAAAATCTTCACTCAAAACCCTTAGTAAAACCCTTCAAGAACTAAACTCGTAAATCCAAAATCCATACAGGGTATGTTATGAATCTTGATAAAAAAAAATAGTAAACTGAAATCTTTGCTTATTTTCAGATACAATATTTAAACGTATAATAGTAGTATACAGTACATATATACGGAAATCAGATGGAATCCATCATTCCTTGCGGCAATGTTAAGGTATTATTTCATCACTTGCAGGAAGTGAGCAAGAAATTTGATTTTGTGAATTTATCAATTTATATAACTGTGCTTGCAATTTCGTATGTAATATAATGAACTATTTGACAAACTAATATCTTAATCATCGATCATATTATTTGTTGATTCGATTAGTATTTTCCTAACAAAAAAATCAGTAAAGGCTACAGCCACAATTTGTTCGGATTTGAAGGTTTCTATGATCAAAATATTGAATTGTTGCTTTTTCAAACTACTTTAAACTGTTGAAATCAAAAATATGTTTAAAGTTTTGGATGAGTTTAAAAACTGAAATTCACACTACCGTGAGACAAAAATGCTTGATTGGCCTCAAAATAACTGACGTATATTGTTATCATTGAAGATGCATTTATAAAATGAATGATTTATGAAATGAACGAACGATGCTTTGTTTTTTTAATATCGGAAACGTTATGTAAGGGCCAGGAAACTCAGGTTTTGAAAAAGAATTTTAAAATAATACTTTTGTTTAGTTTAAAAATGTGTTTATTTGTACTATTAATTTATTTAAAATGTATTTATTATAAACTATCTGTGTGTATTTATAAATAATTGTAACTATATAACTGAAGCTGTGACAAGCCCAAGTGCCAATGTTGTACTATTCGTTTTATGAATAGTTATGAAATGTTCACATAATAAACATTGAAAAAAAAAACAGCTTGATTTATTTACTCTTTCTTGTGTGTATTAAACTTCTAAACGTTTACAGTAGTTTCAATAACATATGCATTACTGCTCGTATGTGAGTATTTAGAATGAACATAGTTAATGTAATTTGACATGTATGTTTACCAGCAAGGTAGTTAGGCAAAAATTAAAAAATCAGGTTTACAAACTTTTTATATTGCATAGGTTATACTTTTAGGAGATTCTTATTCAATGCTACTTACATTAATTGTAATGTTGTTATACATGAACTAACTGTTAGTAGCCTCAAATCAAAAGACAAACTAATAATATTTTATTGTTTGGATAAATTAAACAAAAATTTTACCCACTCGTGAATTTGTTAATTAAATTATCTGGAGAGAACGTAATTTATTTTAGTAAATTTGTATAGTGACGTGCTTATGCCTCTGCTTATCCCAACGATGCCGATCTACTACTTAAAATCGTTCAACAAAGAGAGACAAGTAACGGTAAAAATAGATAAAAGACATTTCGTATCGTAACTATTACCAATGTTTTCTGCTATATTCAAATTAAAACACTTAGCACAAAATAAACAAATCACCTACGATCTGCATGACATTTCAAATACCAAACAAATTTGGAAGTTTTTGAAAGTTTTACTTTGAAGGAAGTAGAAGTGGCTCGAAGAGTAAGGCTTTGAAATAGGGATGTTAATATATATATTAATGTCTCTTAAAGGGTACAAGCCTAGAGGTAAAACATTTAAGTAAGTATACAGGTTGATTGGTACTGAGTGTGACAAAAAGTTTTTGGTGTAAGTACAAAGTACATGAAGTGTGATTATTCACATAAAATGTTACCAAGTCTAATAATTAGTTTCCCAAAAGATTATTTTATGTTTTTCAAAATTAACCATGCTTTTAAACTTAATACAGCGATTTCTCAATTACCTGTATATGGATTTGAGTAGATAATGTCATTTTCGTGTTCTACATTCAATTTTGAATAAGAATTATAGAAAATAATGGAGGATCAGTTGTAAAAACTTCACTGTAAATAGATTCAAAGATAAAAATTAAGATGTTTCATAAAAATTTAAAAATCAATGGTCTATTGCATTTTTCATACCCTGTATACAAGAAAGTGTTGGAAAATGTTAAAAACTGCGCCATTTTATAAGCGTTCCAACCATATGCTACACTATTGAGGTTTAGATATTCTTGTGTTTGTTTTAGTGGTTTGAATACCAGAAAACAGGGAACTTTTTTACTGTGTTTACTGTTTAAGCTAAAACAAAAATACAACTTTTGCTTAATACATGCCAAAATCTATGTAAATAGTTAGACATATTTATAGTATAGTATAACTAGCTGTGTGCCGGTTCTACGTACGGGAATCTTATAGTAAGTTGAAACCTTCTTATATTCAGCTCAGCAGTTAATTTGCATATTTAGTGTGCATTTTCCCAGATATGCTGGCAAAACTATAACTGTATAAATACATATAAACCTTCGCAAATACAATATCTGAAAGTTTCAAGCCAAAACGAATGCTTCGCAATTAAATTAAATGGGAGAAAATTTTACAAAAATAAAACAAAATTGTGTTTTTGGTGGTTCGTTATTTTGTTTTTAAAGAAGCAAGGCCATGTTTTATTGCCAAATACACTCTCACCAATCCAGTAAATACAGAAAAATGATTTGAACCTCGATCGGTACTCTAGTTTTCTAGGAGTGCGCCGCATAAAATGACATGTTGGCGTCACAGACAGAATGGACAGACAAACAGACAGATAGACAAACAGATAGATAGACAGAAATTGAGATAAGACTCAATTCGGCTTTCTTAGGTTATGAAACGTAAAAATACCCAAAAACTGCATGATTCTAAGCAATGTACAGACAGAACTGTAATTGTATTTATATAGAAGATGTACACTAACGCATCGTAAAAGACTAAAACATTTGAATCACTTAATTAACAGCTGTTTGTTTCCAATAGCAAATTAAATTTAAAACACGTTTGAAGTAATTTTGAGAGCTTGTCTTTAAATGAAAACCATTTTAGTTTCGTAACATAGTTTGTTCAAATAATGGTGCAATATAACGTAAAAATATAGTTCATCACACGGGCAAAAAGTGTCTTTTCGACCCGAGCTAAAGTTTGAAACGAACTTAGGTCGAAAAGAGTCACTTTACGCCCTACCGATGAAATACATTATTTCATGTTTCTTATTGTTGCATGATTGCTTATGTTAAATTGTAACTATACAATTACAATTTTCAATGTATTTAAAGTTGTTTTAACTTTCAACACACAACCAATCCTGACACACAACGATACTTAAAACCCATTAAATGTAATTGAGTACTCACCAGAAGACCTTCGAAACCCGCTAAAAAAGTAAAACGACACCTTGGTGACAAACGGAAGTACAAGTCATGGAATGTGTGGAATTGTCAACATGTTTAACGGTCCACAGATGACTAGGCCTAGGAGAAGGTTGACAAAACAGTGGACTTGAGAGAGGTTACGAAGACGGAAGGAGAGGGAACAGAGAACGTCCAGTCATGGTAGAGATGAGCCGCAGCAACCTACAGGTAACTGACCAGTAGATAAGTAGCAGATAAGTAGTCGTAGTAGATAAGTAGCAGATAATTAGTAGTAGTAGATAAGTAGCAGATAATTAGTCGTAGTAGATAAGTAGCAGATAAGTAGGGCGTAGTAGATAAGTAGTAGATAAGAGTTACAAAATTAAAATATACTTACGCATCAGTTACCATGTAAGGTGTGAAAAGGATTTTATTTCATGCTCATCTTTCTCATGACAGCTTAAGCTCAGCAGCATTCTCTAATCACAAATCACATTTAAAAAATGCACTGTATGAATTAAATTTTGCACCTATGACAACTGCGTAGGTAGATTGAAGTCAAGGATGTTCAACAAGTGAAAAAGGTTACGGTAGATAAGTATTGGAGGTGGGGTCAGAAGTAACTAATTAAGTGGAATAGTAGAAGGTAGGGTAAGATAAGAATTGTGTACGAAATGGTAAGATAGAGCAGTGTTATAAGAGATAGGTGTCTGCTTGATAAAAAATAGTTATATGAGATAAGTGTGTGCTTGATAAAATAAGGTAGCTAAAAGAACAAAAGTATGGATAGATAGGTGAAAAGAAGAAGATCCTATCATTTTTAGAAGAAGGTCTTAGGGAGATGATTTGGTTATAAGTAATTGATATGATATATATTTTCAAGTCATATGTTAGGTTTGTAGCAGATTTTTGGTAATAACAGATAAGTATTTATCAATAGGTTGTAAGTATATGGAAGGTAGATGGTTGATAACAAGAGATTAGCAGATTGGTAGGATATATACTAGATAAGTAGTTGATAACAGACTTATTAAGTAGCTTGCAAAAATGCAGTTAAGGAACCGATAGTTATGAAAACGTTAGAATATAGTAAATACTTCCTTTCGTACTGTAAGTTATTTATTTTACATTTAGTAAGTAGTAAGACAGTAAAACTTTAGTTAGTGGACTGTTATTATTAGTTTTATTGTAGATACAAAATACAGTAAAAATATTTCAAAGGCTATTCAAACATTTTAATATTCCAGGTTAAGAAAACTTTTTTGAGAGCTTCACACAAATCAAACTAATATTTGAAATAATAATAATAAATATAATAAGTTCAAAAATAGTTTTCATGAATAAAATTATGATTAAAAACATTGTAAACGAAAGAATAAAAGCGTGTACTAAAATAAAAGAATTATATAACAACTACAATAGGCTATACTATTTTAATTCATTTAAAAAATAAGTTATTTAAGAACGCGTTTATAAATACCATTGAGAAAGGACTTTTGCTAGTGGAACTTAATTGTTGTTTTCCCTGAGAAAAGCTCGACCTCCTGATACTCATAGTAAACTAACAAGGGAAGCAAATTTTAGCAAATGTTCTACTCAAAATATCAATATTACTAGATATTATTACCATTGAAAAACATTCAGAAGGTATTGATGATAAGTTGAATTTTCCTATTGATATGTGCGAGTAAAACGTCAAACGATTAACAAAAGCTGAAAATTTGTGTCTTACTATGTATCCTGTTTGCCTGTAAAACGAACATAGCCTTAGATATAGTCAGATTGGAACGAGACGTCGCTTTGGATGCCAGCTGATCATGTTTTGGTTTTATTTATTTTGTAAAACAAGTTTTGGATTCCGTCCCTAAAAGGAAAGTTGGAAGCAGGTTTGCGAACAGAAGCTCGTAGCTTTAGTTCCAGTTGGCGTTTTTTTTGTACACGTAGTCCTATGTCATGTTAAAAGAAAGACTACGCATTGATTAAATGCTACATAAATTATATAGATTACAAGATTTTTTATTTCGTACATAGTTCGACGTTAATTCAAATAGAAATGGAAAATATAAAATTTTTATTTGGGGATCGAGAATTGAAGCAACACCATCCGACATGATTATATACAGTACAATTTTAAAAATTACAAGACCCATATACACACAGTTTTTTTGTTATAAAACTATTAACAACTGCTATACATATATTTGTTTATTATTTTAACTATTTTTTTATATGGTAAATTAAACACAAATACAAAATAATTAATTGCTATACCTTTTGGTCCTAGAAGACCTCGTCAAACATTTCTTAGCATACCATCGTCATTGTGATCATTAGTTTATAAATATATGCGACATTGATTTTTTAGGTATACTCTTCGAGATTACTAGTCCATCCAATTAGTTATTTTGGTTGAAATATATTTTCAGAAACACCATAAGCCACCAGTTCAATTCTGTTTCTACATAATATCATAAAGAAGTATAGTATATTTTCTCTGTTTAGGGGGGGGGGGGAATAACTACAACGGACTTGGCTCCAATTTGACCAAAAGGTAGGCCTACATCATGAATCTGGCAAACAGTTACCTATAATTTGGAAATCCTCTCGTGGATGTAATGTGCACTTTGATCAATTACATTATGGACATCTAGAAAAGGCCAGGAATATTAAATAGGAAAAATATTTTTCATAAAAGGTGTTTTTCTTCATAGTATTGCACGAGCCTAAGTAGGACAACACGAAGGGTTCTCAATATATGTAAAGGACGTTTCGGTAGCCTGCACACGTGCGTCTTCAGGTCAGATAATGGCTACAATCAGTGATATAGTCCAGGCGCTAAACGGGTTGAGTATGCACTGAAAGTCTGACAGAATTTGACTTTTGATTATTGTTGGGGATATCTAGTAGATGAAAAAAATCGATGATGTCGCATTTCTAGGGTGGTCACAACTCGGGGGGGAGGGGGGGGAAGTTGCGCGGGTCATCGGTTTACGTTTCCGCGTCTAACTCACAAACGGTTAATGATATAAAGGTGAATTAAGCGTATATCTACGCCTAAATATATTGTCTTTTAAAAAGGTTATTACAACCTTTCTTCTATCTTCTATACTTTAGGCGCTAATCAACATTTATTGCAAAAAATAAAATTTAAAAATACTTTAAAATGAAATATCGGAAATATTGCGCTTGTTTAGGGCATGTTACAAACTATTTATGGTTAGAAAAACTAACAAGTAGTACAACAACACCAAGTTTAAAGAAATCCGTGCAAAAACAACAGAGCTACGTTGATTTCAGTAAGAGTAAACGTGGAAAATTCGTAGTAGTACCGAGGCGCGCATGGACGGTACGTAGCCCACAGTCAATATAGGTTTGATGTTGTAAGTAACTATGGGAAAGCTGAATTTTTCTATGCTGTTAGACCATGTTGAGATGAGCATTTTCCCAAAAGTCCCCACTCCTACCCCTTTGTGCTTTCCTCTACCCCCCCCCCTTTTAGATAAATTTACAGTCTCTTAGAAATTAAGCTATAACTTTAAAACGGGTAAGGATAATAACGCAATCTTTTATTAATCATTTTGCGTTACGATATTCTACAAAAAGTGTATTTACCATGGTATCCTAAATATTCATAGTTAAAAAATATCATAAACATAAAAAAAAATATTTTTTACGGATTAATTCATGAAACTTTTCTTTGTAGATTTTTTATACGAGGTCGCACAACAAAATGTTTGATACAAAATTTGGGGTGCATAGTTTACATTTTAAAATGATACATAGCTATTAACAGTTTGTTTGCATATAGTGGTTATAGATAGTTCAGTATATTGATTTTACAGGACTCTGGCTTTTTTGTGCACCGCAACAATGAAAAAAATTACGTATATTATGGTTTTTGTATTTGAATTTGCCGCTTTATATAGATTATATTAACGTTTTGTAGCTCATTCAGTACATATACAGACTGTAGTGGATACATATGAATGAATATCGTGCATTTGCTGCTGTACGCCAGAGCCTCATTTTATTATACAGGGTGTCTCACCTAAAGTGAACCAATAGATACATTTTTTATTATGAGATATAGAGTTAACTTCTTATGGGACACTACCCTTTATTTTAAGATGTTTTTTAGTGGTTTCGAATTTTAAAAATATGTTCACCATTTTCCAATATGGCTGACAACTTTGTTAGTCCTATGGAATACCCTGTATTTTATGATTGTTTTAGAATGTAAACGCACAATTTTTAAACCTTTTTATTCTTGACATTTTTCTCTAAAGCTACTTGTTTAGGAGTTACATCGAAAAAGAAATGGTTTGTGAGTACATCCTGCATCCTGTAGCTCATAAACGAGTAAGTTTAAGAGCGGAAATACAAAGAATAAACAAGTTTTCAAATCACATCTACATTAAAAAAACCATAAAATAAATTGTTCCAATGTCAAAGTAAGCTAGCATTTTTGAAAATGGTGGCCATTTTTAAAACAACAAAATCAGTATTTTTTTACGTATTTTATATATTTTTTGAACGAGGACTTATATGTGACTTATTTATTCTTTGCACTTTCTCTCTCAACTTACTCGTTTATGAGCTACAGGATGCCGAATGTACACCACAAGCCTTTCTTTTAGATATAACACGCTGTAACTCCTAAATGGGGTAGGTTTAGAGAAAAAATTTCACGAATAAAAAAATAGCTTCTAAATTCTAAAAGAATACTAATATACAGCGTATTCCATAAGAAATAAAAAAGTTGTTGGCCATATTGGAAAATGGTGGATATATATTTTTTATTCGTAACCATCCCTAAAAACATTTTTTACAAATAAAAGGGGTCGTCTAATAAAAAGTTAACTCTATATGGAAAATAAAATTTATGTTCACTATGTAATCTCAACCGGGATGAAACGTGTACCCTTTTATAGCAGAATGTCCAATTTAAAAAAAAGATACGTAAATTTTGGTCTAACAACTTATATTTAAATGAATATGAGTTTTTTGGAATTTTTAAATGGCAAAGATTGGCGGGCACTTGGAAATTATCTTAAAGAGGCGTGGAGTAAAGGGTGGGAATTGATAATGGAGTATAATTATTAAATTTAAGAATTGAGATATCAATACAAAAATTGGAAAAATCTATGCAATTTAAAAAATTTATAAAATATTGTTTGTTTAGTATCTATCAAAGTAAATTATAAAAGTAACAGGTTTGTTTTATGAATTATTAACTGTTTGTAGGAAAAATTCAGATTCTCAGTAGGCTACATTTAAATTTTATTATTCATTCAAATGATATCTGATCTATTAGTATGTAGTGCTATTTGTGTATGTTCTGTAGTGGAAATCAGTTTATTTTATGAATAATTGTAGGCTATGTGATTCATGGAAGTTTTTTAAACTGTTTTAAAATATTTTAAAATCAGTGTGTCTAACACAAAACAGACGGTCTTTGACCATTGTTCTTTGCATTTAAATAAAAAACACTGTATTGATATTTTATTACAATGAACACATTTTCTTCTTCTTCTTCTTCAGAAATCTATAATAATTCTTTTTAAATATTTATTCATCTAATAAATCTTTTTGTAGATTATCGTAACGCGAAATGATTAATAAAAGATTGCGTTATTATCCTTACCCGTTTTAAAGTTATAGCTTAATTTCTAAGAGACTGTAAATTTATCTATAAGGGGGGGGGTAGAGGAAAGCACAAAGGGGTAGGAGTGGGGACTTGTGGGAAAATGCTCATCTCAACATGGTCTAACAGCATAGAAAAATTCAGCTTTCCCATAGTTACTTACAACATCAAACCTATATTGACTGTGGGCTACGTACCGTCCATGCGCGCCTCGGTACTACTACGAATTTTCCACGTTTACTCTTACTGAAATCAACGTAGCTCTGTTGTTTTTGCACGGATTTCTTTAAACTTGGTGTTGTTGTACTACTTGTTAGTTTTTCTAACCATAAATAGTTTGTAACATGCCCTAAACAAGCGCAATATTTCCGATATTTCATTTTAAAGTATTTTTAAATTTTATTTTTTGCAATAAATGTTGATTAGCGCCTAAAGTATAGAAGATAGAAGAAAGGTTGTAATAACCTTTTTAAAAGACAATATATTTAGGCGTAGATATACGCTTAATTCACCTTTATATCATTAACCGTTTGTGAGTTAGACGCGGAAACGTAAACCGATGACCCGCGCAACTTCCCCCCCCCCTCCCCCCCGAGTTGTGACCACCCTAGAAATGCGACATCATCGATTTTTTTCATCTACTAGATGTCCCCAACAATAATCAAAAGTCAAATTTTGTCAGACTTTCAGTGCATACTCAACCCGTTTAGCGCCTGGACTAATAAGGGACTTGCGTGGTCGCGTCGTCTTGGCTAATCCATTGTTGTCACAAGGACGGTAGATTTGTGTCTATTGAGTTTACCAAATTGCTTCAAAATTACTTCGGTTGCAACTTCAACAAAAACTATATTGCGCTGGTTACTCATGGAACTAGCTTACAGGAACTAAGTGAAACTGTCAGTAATTGTTATACGTGTGAGGTAAAACGTTTTGTTATTTAGTTAGGATTGCAATATTATTTGTTTATTGCAAGGTTTTGTAGGAAAGGAACTTAAAAAATGCATTTCTATAAGTTATCGGAAATTTAATGAGAAACACAGGAAATAATTTGAGATAGTTATCAAACATCAAAATAATTAAGAAAAATAAACATACATATGCCTTTGGTCTGTACATTTGATCGATAGAAATACCATGTTTAAGACTATCTTGCCAATCTTGTCAGTATGCAGTAAATTTAAAGATCAATTTCAGTTTAGGAGTCTCATCATAAGTTTCGATCAATTTCAATTTAATTTCAGATTTTGCAGCCAACAATTGATAAAAAAATTCAACTCGAGTGAATTAGTCACAAAGAATCCATGGGTGCTTGTTTGGTTGAAATTGAACTCTAGTCTGAGATGATATAGATATTTTCTGCAACTTATTGTACTTAAAAGCATATTTAGAAAGAGATTAATGTTGAAAGATGGAACGAAACTCAGTCATTATATCAAAATCGATCATAGTTTACTGAACGCAAAATTGTTTAAAGGATTAATATAAAACTGTTATAATACCTAATCAGCGGTGACAAGAAATTCCAATCCATAATATTGGAACGATTCACAATAGATTTCACGAGAAGCCTAATTGGATCACCAAGATTACAAACATCGAAACCCCTATATGTATATCTTGGAAATCTGGAGACTACCTTACAATTAAAACCTAAGGATTACTCTACGATAACCAGATAGACAATGTTTTCCATAAACTCTCCCGTATAGAACAAAGACTAAATATGTGATAAGTATAAAATGTAAAATGTTTCAGATCCTAGCGACGTTGACGATGGTGACCGCTTCCTGGGGCCACCTCCTGGACCTGGACGGGTGAGTGGTGACCTCCAAGGGTCGCGGGTATCTTCCTCAATGTCGCGGGTGACCATCCGAGTAAACTGCCACCGTAAAACCGATCCGTCTCACAGCTTGTATCAACAAACAACCAACACCGTGACTCGTACAGAGCGTTCACTTTGTGGACTGGGAATACATTACTTTAGTCTTCTACGGACGCTAGACTATTTTGCGTTTCAAAAAAAATTTTCGATTTGAGATTTTTTTCATGTGTAGAGCGAAGTATTATCTTTTCTAGAGTTTGAATATCGTACAATGTTATGGCCATAATTATTTCCGGAATACGTAATGTATCTCTTACGCTCAAAAAGTGGCCTCCAAGTAAATCGTTGAAGTACATAGTTGCTACATACTAGAAACATAACCTTTAACATAAGCTTATGTAGAATGCTAGATTGCATTTTGTAACAAAATAAACATTATGGCAACACACCAAATAGGGAGACACTCATTCGGTGATTGAAAACATTATTTGATAAATGTCTGGTCAAAAAAGTTATAAGGAAACCAGTTGAAAATATATTCTGAAATATCTCGCTATATAACATTCACTCACTCTAAATGTATTGAGCTGAATTGGTTGGAAACTTGGCATGTTGGATCCTTCAAAGATGTAGTAAGACGTGATGTTAAGATCTTTTTAACAGATTAAATGTTAAATAGAGAGAAATATATTAATAAAGTAAAATGTAAAGTGAAATTTACATACTTTATATATACACTTCAGAAATATATATTCATCTTAAACAAGTATAGACATTTGACAAAGAAAAGTCGCTAGTATTTAGATTTCCAAAACAAGGTTGGAAACAATATAGTGGAAGTAAACGTAGTGTAACTAACTTAGAAAAAAACGTTAAATTTTTTCTCTAAGCTCAATTTTTTTTTATGAAATATGACTAAAATAAGAAACAAAATATGACACTCTATTAACTTATAACACTAACACTTTTAACTAACTTTGACACTCAATTATTTTTTACTCTTAGAAATTTGTACAACCCTTATCTCGTCCATAATCTTAACAAATGTTGTTCCAGTTACCACCATTGGAGGTACAACCTCCCCCATGGCCCTCACCCTCTGGATGTCCCTCCCGTCCACCTACCTCCACTGAGGTCGGCACTTCCACCCCTTCCTCTACACCCTCCACCTCAGATCATCCTGGTCCCTGTGCATGTCCGAGGGACGTTCCCACCCTTCATAGAACGCATCGTTCAGAGGATTCAGACTTGGTGGTCCTTCTACAACCCCCCGGAGGAACTTACCCGTCCTCCTCCGACCATGGACGAGGCTGTCACAACTAAACCTAACAGCAGCAAGAAAAAGGTCGGTTTAATAAACTACTTAGAAATGTTATTATTGGTGATTTCTTGGATGTGACAAATTTAAAAAATTTATTTTCTCCCATATGATCGAGATGTGTAACGAATTAAATGATTGATTCTGTAGAGTAGATCGTTATTACGAAATGTTGTCGTTGTCTAAGTATCTATATTTATGGACAGATTTCCCCTTAAGTAATTATACCAGTCAACCCCGAGAACTGAACACAGAGTACATTATGTAATTAGAAGGTCAACGGTTCGATTCTTAAGAGTCGCTAGATTTTTGATTGTTCAAATTTTGATGGCTATCCTTGATTATTGGGGGTTCTGGCTAAAGGAACAGTTGATCTCACATTGCAACAAAGCAATACTAGGAATTTCACTCAATCATTCACTTACCATAATAAAGATTAAATTTTCCCAAGCTGCACCTCAAATGGTAATGATAATAGGTTAATGAAAATTCAAAGATACATAAGTTTTTTCAAACTCAGTAGGATATTAAAACTTAGGAAAACATAGGTTCATTCTGGCTTGGCTATTAGAGTCTTGGGTTTAAACTATAATTTAGTACCTTATTAGCATTGTATGATTTATTGAGGTTACGTTCAATTTTTAGACAGAAGTGTAGCTTAGCTTAAAGGTAATATACTGACTTTCCTTTAAAATGTCGACCATACGAAAGTAGGTATTTTAAGCCAAGTATGAATGGAGATGAGTGTAGTACGAGTGGTGCGATCTTGTAGTCTTGTAAGTGACTATGGCTGACATATTCCGTAGACACAGCTGTTAATAAATAGCCCATACAGCCTATGGCAACTAAGAGACCTACTGTTTATAGTGGAATCCGAACCACATTTTTGTCTTGTAGGTAGTACCATTGAATAGTCAAAGGTAGTACTCACGTTATGAACTATATGAACTAACGTTAAGTCGTAATTATCTGATGAAATACTATATACAAAATTGCAATTCACGTCTATAATTTAAAAAATGCACAACTATATTTACAGCCTACAATTGCCACGACCACTCCAGTACCAAAACAAGAAGCGGAAACAGAATCAACCCCAGAGGCTTCGGAGACTCCGCAGGTTGAAACAACCACTTCCACTCCAGAAACTTCCGACCCCACGGTATCCACCTTGGCCGTGTTCGAGGTGACTCCCTCGGGCTCTGCCCCCTCGGAGGAGACGGAGGAGCCCATGCTCATCACCCCTGAGAGAGCGAGTCTCCTAGGAGGTCAGAAGGAGGCGTACCTAAGGTTCCTACAGACGGGGACAATCCCACCATACCTGGAGTCAGACATCATAAATGAGACTGAAGAATAACATGTGTATTGCCTTAAGGTTATTGAGTGTGTTTTTAAACAGGGGTTGAAAAACAGTGCTATGTCAAAAAAGTTGTATAAATTTAATTTATTAATATTGCAATAAAGTAATTTAACGATGAAACAATAAACTTGTATTTGGGTACGCTATTAGAATAAACGAACAATGGGATAGTCACGAAAATATTTTTCTCTAATAATTTTGAAGGTAATGCCACAAAACCTATTTCAGTAAGCACAATTTTTATGAGTATTTGGTAAGTGGGCACTCCAAAAGGATTCAAACAAGGCAGAATGGCTTTTAAGTTCCAATAAGTATTTAAGTATTTTATTAAATAAATTATTTTTCTGTAAATATGCATTTTCCTGCACTTTCCTCATCATTTTAGGATAAGATCTTTGAAAATCACCATTAAAAACTAAGCCAGTAATACACCTTTCCAGTGTATGTTTAAATTTATGATTTCCATGACCAAAGATCTTAAAAACAAGGGTTTTGGATACAATTGTTCGAGAAATCCCACGGTATAACATAAATAATCAAGGTCATATACCTTCAGTCCAAGCGAAGCAGTTCCTTTTTTCAGTTCAATGACTATGAATATGAATAATCCGGGATTGGAATTCGACAAGGTCTTCAAAAACATGAAAAACCATTATCGCAGCCGTTACTTGGGGGTTTATATACATATAAAACATTCAACATTATTTTGGACTATATCAAAAAGTCTTAAAAAAATTCTGGTTAGAATTTATTAAAAACATAATCGTATTGGATAGTAGGGGAGTAACGTTATTTTATAGTTTCAAGACTTCTCCAAACAAAATAAAATTTTCCCAACTAAGAGACCAACAAATTTTACGAATTGCATAGTGGATTTTTAACCAACGTGTCATGGTATCATGAAATAATCAAAGTCATTAGTGTTTAGGTATATTTGATCTCAGACCACCAGGAACAAAGCTCTGCTCTTTAACCAAATAAAACAAGTTATCGCCAAAGGAACGGAAGTAAAAGACATTTTGCTTACTTATGTCCGACTTTAAGATACACCAACAGAAAATAATTGAACTATTAAAACCAAACTTCTGTGCCTCTCCAAAGACTAGATCCCAAACGCTAGATTGTATGCATTACCATCTAGATCCAGCTTTACAGTACAACAGTCCCATAGTACATGAAGAAAGAAATAGGAAATAATTAACGCAGTTATACATAGGATTGGATATTCATCTGTAAATAAGACACTACAATGATTTGGATTATACTCCACCCTACCAAGCCTAAAATGCACATCAGGTATAATTGAATCTATTGAACATCTTATCTGGTAATGTTCCAACTATAAATGTACAAGAATTGCATGTTTTGACAAAATAAAAAAGATAGAGAACAACAGTGCTAGGAAAATGAAAAAATGGCTGGTTTTGACTTAAAATTCTACAACGAATCTGTATTTTTTTAATCAAGTGAAATACAAAATACAAAGTACACCAAAATCAATATTACAAATACAACAGTTGTGGCTACAAAATAGATCTCGGTTACTAAAATAACCCAAAAGCAACCGCAGGAAGAGATATATGAAAATCAGGTGCCTGAAGAACAGTAATCCAACCCTACTGGAAAATAATATCTAAAAAACATGAATTGACTAGCTGCCCTTCATCCTACGATATAACCATAGATTATGCTTAATATATGATATAACCTCATTACTCTTGAGATATAACTATACAACACGAGGCGCCTTCTTTTAGGGAGATACTCCATTATTCAGAGTTGCATGGCACATCACATTGTACAAAGAGAAGGGGCAGTGAAATGGTTTCTATATACAGTGTTTTCTTGCAAAATATTTTTGTTTGCTGCCAATAGGAACACAGTATTTCCTTTTTTAGATCAGAACTCACCTGAATAAAAAACATGGTTAAAAGAATATTATGATAACTTACGCCAACTAAAATAATATCAATCTATGATATGTATATAGGTACGTATTGGCGAGGTACAGGGTCTACAGGGTTTAACAAAACTAAAGTTTTACTACTTCAAATCTCACAATTTGTGAAACACAATCACGTGTAATATCATACATAATTTTAAAGCACATTTTAATACGTACATTATGCTGGAATCAGAGTTAGACTATTTTTATTCGTTACAAAATGGCGGCTCTTAGAGTGGAAATTGTTGTAATATTTTGAATACTTTGGAATTTATAAATAAATAAATATACATAATTTATGATTAAAATGTCACGTTCCTTATTAGCTACGCTTTGTTGTGATATACAATATTACAAAACTATAAAAAATACAAAATTATTTGTTTACAAATAGTTACAAAGCCAAAGCTGAAATAACTTCCAATAACATACTATTTTAAGATGCAAATAATTTTAAAGGTAATACAATACCAAGCAATGCTCTATTAATTTTTGTCTGATGGTTCGTGTGTGATCAAACTCAAACCGGAACACATTTAACACGTTCCATTTGGAATTCCAAATTAAATTAGCAAACCTTGCAATCGTCCCTGATCCTCTAGTAAAACATGCTATCTACAAACAAATGTGAGTTTTTACAACATTAAAAAAAGTATCCAAACATTATGGGTTGTATTTGAATTCCTAAGACAGTCAAAGGTAAGGTGCGACAACGTTTGGATGATGTCCAAAAGGATGGTCACTTTCAAACATGATGACCCGATGCCTGACCAACGGTAAGTGCGACTTGTCCTAATTGACCATTGCATTGTTCAACTCACCTGCTAAGAGGGAGTTCCTCAAGGTTCTGTTATTGGGCCAGTTTTTTTCAACGTCAATTACCTATTTCAGAGGTATTATTGATCAAAGTTCACTACGAAAGACACTGTAATCTGTCTTGAAAATGTAACAACATTTGCTTAGAGTCACCCTGCATTCTTCAAGTACAGTTGGGTCAATATAATTTATGAATTTGTACCTAGTATTCCTATTATAATGTAGCAAAAATATTTAAAATTATTGTTGTACGATTTACTTTGTCCGTTGATATTTGACATTAAGATTTGTTTTAAAAGTTAAAATGAATCGAAATATCGACAGAGGGTTGCAATTAAAAATTTATTCCAGTATATAATTCTAATTTTATTGGTTTTGAAGCATCAGACTTCCATTAAAATCGACTATTTACTAGCTATAAAACCGTGATCTAGCTCTCACATAGGCTACTCCAGAGAATTTATAAGTCATTATATTATATATTAGATCTATTATATAGAACCACTGAGTACGAATTTACTCAAAGCCAGAACTCTAATGTGTGGTAGTTGAATGTGAAATAAATAAGATAATAGCACCAAAGTAGTTTCTAAGATATCGTATTTTTACCAAGTAACTGGTTCCAAAAAAGTTGTAACTTACATTACGTAGTAATGCATCAATTACTTCCCCCAACCCCTCCCCAGTTATTGAACTTTTTCGGCTTTCTATCCCCTAAGTTAGTACCTGTCCCCCTTTAACAATAATCTTGTATTGAGCTTAGGTCAGTTCTTTCATTAAGGAACAAAGAATTTAATTCTACTCTCTCCAGGACTTGTCCTCGGCCTTGGGTCCTGGACTCATCCTGCGACATCGCTCTCTCTCTCTCTCTCTCTCCCCCTTGCACTCTCCTTCTCTCTCTATCTCTCAGTATGCAGCAGCATATTGTCGGTGCGTGAGGGTTCTCTAGGTCAGTAGGCTTAGTATCAAACATGGACAGCAGGAGTAAGGTAAGGAACCCTCCAGATTTGTCAAACCTTATTTAAGTTATATATCTATTTAATATTTTTAATATTGCTAATTCTAGCAAAATCTAAAATAAAAATATTTTTTATTTGTTCATTCAATTTTTATTACACCGTATATATTATACTAGCAGTTACTTAATATTTGGTTTATATTATTAGAAATTATATTTTTCATAATTTTTTATCATAAATGAACTCTGTTGAAAATTAATTTAAAATCATTGTTTAGATACAGATCATTTTAACACTTGGTTAAAACAGTTTCTGTTTATTAATTTTATTAGTTGAAGATTCCAATTTCCTTGTATTCCCTTAAGCAGAACAGATTGTAGAATACTTGTAATATCTAAATAAATTTGTTCAAAAATTGGCATTAAATTTGGGCAAATGAGTGATTTAATTTTAAACTATATAATAGATATAACATGTTTTCCTTTTCTAAATTGATGAACCCTTTTCCCCAATCAATAGGCCCTATCATTTCCCTAATATTGGCCTAATCAGGATTGCTATTCGACTTATTAACTGTATTTTAAACTCGCAAAAGAAGGATAAAAATCATTCCACCAGAGCTAAATTACTCTTTAAGTTATAAGATTAACTTCTATGTAAAATTATGAGCATATTCATCTCGTAACCGTATTGACTTTCCGACTTCATTACCCATTAATCCAAGGAACATATTACAAGTAGTGTTGTTTTGTTAGCAAATTAAAAGTATGTAGACGTTTTATTTAGAAACAAACGTGTTGTTTAAAAGTATAATTTTAATAATATTTCCCTCTGGGAATTCGCCACTTAATTTATTTATCCTGCCCTAGCTAAGACCAAGTTTGTTTTTGTAAAATGTTTAAAGCTGAACTCCAACTTGTTTTAAGACTTATTTACGTTACTATAATGGAGTAAGCCTAGGTTGAAATGATTCGGTTTTCACACTTTTAGCCTTGTTGGGTGGCGACTTTGACAGACACCGTTTAAGAGATTAAATTCGTGAGAGTAATTATTTTACTAATTTACAATGTTTTCTAACTTTTTACCAATGATACCCTGTAGGCTGAATTATTAGACTTGATAGTACACGTAAAATATATGTGAGTAAACAACTTTCCTAAAATAAGTTATAGTTTAATTAATAGTGGAGACAAAAAATATTCAGTTTTAGAGCATTTTTGACTTAAATATATTTTCAAAGAACGATTTCGATTGTATGTTGCTTCCATTAATTCGTGCGATTTAATTGTATAAACAATAATGTGAAATTATGTTGTTTCTATTGCCTTATACGTATGGGGTTGTATTCTTCGCAATATATCGTGTAAAATATGTTCTTGTACATCAAATGCATTAGTAAACAGTAATAAAACAGGAATTATTTAAGCAAAAGCTTCTACACTAGGCTCTTTTTACCAGAACATTGAACTAACAATAGGATTTGTTGGGAAGTATATCAGTTAAACGATAAAATTACTCAAAACGCTTCCTAAATCTCTTTGTTCACGTAAATACACCCAGTAATTGCTTACACGTGTTATAATGGATACTACAAAATGAAGTATGGGCAGAAAAGATAACAGAATTGTTCAAATTTTTCAATTGACACTTATAACAAACTTAAATTTGAATCCTATTTCTACAATGTCGCCTGGCCTAAAATAACTCACATTAATCATTCAGTAAGACTTTTTCATCACTCTGTATTCGAAAATAGCCCATTTCCATACAGCTGAGATCTTCGAAAAATTTCAATTTCCATACAGCAGAAACAAATAGTGATCAGCTGACCTTTCCTGACATAAACATTACTTCCGCTACACACAACTGAGATAAAAAAATGTCAACTGAAGTTCCCAATTAGCTCAAAAGGAGTGACGAAGTAGTTGTTTTCATTGTGATAAATGTATCGTTCAATACTCGTCACGAAAAACCCAGTAGTGAAATAAAGAACTATTAGTTCGAGTTGGTAGAGTTTTATCATGTTGTCATTATCATAGGTTACCATTTTAACCAGCTGTTTATTTTGGAAACATCAAGATAAGCCAAAACACTGACCATATTTCAATGTTACTCAACCATTGACCATTGACCATATACTCAATGCTCCCTTCAAACAGAGGATGATCAATTGTTGACATTGATTAATATATTCAGTTCAAAAAATTTTCCTTCACCTTTACTGAGTACAAAAAGAGCAATGTCAAACATGTGCTCATAAACCACCAAAGCATGGGAGAAACTTCAGAAACGACTCTTTTTACCAAGGAAAGTGCAAGGAATAATGGTATTATAATAACTTCCTCACCCGAATTCAAAATTAAGTGAAATGTGCTACGCGCTCTAGTTGCTGTAACTAACGGTGATGATTGGTTACATGCATCGGGTGGATGACTGGGATTATGAAGATAATGTGTTGATGTTGATGATGTTGATGATGATTATGGTGGATGTAGACGACAAGAGGCTGTGTCGAAGGTGAGACTTGGAAGGCAATTGATGATTCTCACGACCTCCAGCACTTGTGCTACATATTCTACAACCATGCATAGCCTCAAACGTGTCACAGGGGACTCGGTGTCATCATAGATTAAACACACAGCATTAGGTGACGTGGTCGTGATGGTTCAGTGGGCGATGGTCTACCGGGGCTGTTCTATAGTCTATAGTTAGTTCAAATAACGAAGGCGGTCGGGGATAGGACCTACCTGCGGCCATTGAATAAAAACATTATTAGTTGGCCGTGCATTTGAACAAACATAGAAGTTTGTGCTCTTCAGTCTTGCTACGTTATAAATTCATTAACCTTATGGTTCAAATGAGGATATGTAATTAGTTTTGTTCGGTTTTTGTAGATACTGTTTTATTGTTTACTATTTTTATCTTGTTGCTTAGCCAACATTATGTATGTTCTATATTAATTTAACAAACAATTAAATTATTGCCTTTTTACTGGTGCTATGATCAAAAAATTCAATCACTAATCTTAAAATACCACTGAAAATAAGAGATAAATATTCAGTCAACTTGAGCACACTCAAACACCACCAAAGTGAAAAATACAGGTTGGGATTTTACCATAGCTTGGAAAACACTTATATATTTTTAAATTCAACTATTAAGCATTCTCCCTTATAAGTTTCATCCTTCTGAACCAACTGAAGAGCTGAAGGAATGGTTTCCCAGTAACAGTGAGAATTAAATAACAGGTTAAAATGCCTGTTGTAACTGCAAGTAGTCCTGTTTTTGGATTGTGTGACCACGGTTTTGAGCCTACTGGCACATTTTCAAGCAGAAACCAGGCTGTAAACTGTGAAGAGTCTTCAAAACACAGAAAAAAAACACACGGACAAAAATATTTGCTTTAAAAATAACACTAACAAAAACTATATATATAGTATTAGTGAGCTATTAGTATTATTATTTCTAATGTATCAAAACAAAAGATCGAACATTTCACGCTTTAAAAACTAACTTAAATTAATACAAAAGTATTTGGCATCATCACACCCAAGTGTAGCCGAAACAAGTTTAAAACTCCTGAACTTGAAACAAGCACGACAGTTTACAATAGGATTACATGGTTTCTTTCTTGCACTAACAGAGGTGCGGTTGAGGAAATTTCTACAACTTCTGTCAATCCCACTGTTAAAGTCACTGTTGAGCTCAAATTGTTTTTGCTGTTGAGTTCATTGTTTATCGTGTAGGTTGATATTTGATTATGTGCAAATTGTGATTCGGTAATGTTTATGATTTTCATCATAATAACAGTCAAAATAGATTGTATTACTTAACAGATTGTAGAAAATAGCTTTTTTAGAATCAACGTCATTAACTTAAAACTATTCAAAAAGCTTTGGCAACCAATAGGCACTTAACACTTTTTACTCCACAACAAAATGACGATGTTTCCGAAGAAAAGGACGCAAATCGCTGAAAACTGTTCCTGTTCATAAAAGTGATATTCCAGTTATGTATTTCTTTATTAAATATGATTTATAGGCTAAGTATGCTTGTAAGCTTAACTACAACAAATGTATACGATATAACACAATAATTTTCAAAACGTAATCGTATATTACGCATTATTTAACTATTCTTAGTCAGAATCTGCTAAATGCTTGCCCAAAGTACTTTATTGAGGAATGTATTATGTGTTCTTCCAACTGTTAAATGCAAAGCAGCTCTCTGATTCCTATAATCCGTCAGACGGGTTCAGCGTGAATATCTACATAAGTGAACCGGTTTAAATATCTTCACGCAATGTTTACACGAAACCCACATTTGCAAACGAGTCAACGGTTGGATGGGTTGTCTTATAGCTTTAGGATCTACTGAAATAAATCTGTGGTTTTATTGGTAATATTTAGAATACTTAATATTTAGGATTTTTATATATTTGGGGGTTTTGATGTTTGGGTGCGCGTTTTCTGATTCATTTTTATACTGAATCTTTGGAAATGAATCTTTCTACTTCTATTTATAGAGAGGCTGTTCTTTTAAACTAAATATAGTACCAGGACCAAGTTATAAATAAAGTATCACAGAACATAGTATAATCACTTAGGAAGTTAATTTGAGTTCAATGGATACCCAATACACTGTATTAAATTATTTGTAATCAATGCTCATGTTTTTAATTTGATGACACGTATAATCTCTAAAACATCCCAAATCTTTGAAAAGAAAGTTGGTTTAAAAAACTCAATTAAATTTAAGTTTGCTTTTATTGTTTCCAAATATCAAAGAGCTGAGTTTACTTACACCAAAATAAGATAAATTTAGTTAACACCATTTCACTCAAACGTACAACACATCAAAACAGGCTTTGATTTTAAAATATAAGAAATAAATTTGAAGTATCCAAATTTAAAAGAAAATTTGTAGGCAGAGTAAAATCCCGGTTTTAAATCTTGTTAGATTTTATTTGACGAAAACTCTCTCGTTTCTAGATTGGGATACTACTGATAGTGTATGCTTTACAACTGGTTCTGTGTTATCCCTCCCCCCTCTCATCCTACCGGACCGTAGACTCCGCACTGAGGATCAGGTGAGTTGTTTATTGTTATTTTATTCATTAGTTAATCAGATTAGACGATACGTTGTTGTAGAAAGTGGTACTAGATGCCTCCCGGCTACTATTGTCTATTTGGGGTTATGGTTGTGTATTGTATCAGCTTTACTGTCAGATGTGACACTTGACCGACATGCAACGTTTTCGACAAGCCAGTTGGCCGACATGTCACTCGGTCGACAAGACAGTTGATTGACATGTTTCATTTTCAATATAGTATATAGGCCTATTAAGAGTCCCATATGTTTTAACCAAAAACTAAATAGAATACAACTCTCGTGATTCAAAAGCACAGTTTAGTTGTTTTTAACATGCACAAATACTACTTGGTATTTAAAATATTGTTGCAATTTTCATATTATTTGTGAATTGTGTGTGTATGTTTTTTTTTCTTTCAAATAAATAACTTACTTTTATCAAAGTAATGATACGAATTTAAAAAAAAATAATTCATGGGTACTCTTAGTAAAAAAAAAATCACTAATCATGGCTAGTATGGATGTTGTATTATGAAAAGTCCCAAGTAGTTATTACAATTGATATTTCAGGAATACTGTAAAAATATCGTTACAATTTCAGTAATATTATCATAATACAAACCTATGAGATTCAAGAGGTTGAAAAAACTGTCTAAAAAGTGTTTATCAACGTGATTTTTATGGAGGAATCTTTATAAAATCAAATTTTGTATTTTAATAATAGTTATACTGAAAAAAGTTGTACTTCATAATGTTTTTGTGAAACATTTTACCAATAGAACACTTTAAAAATCAAATAGGTCTTAATATCTATTCTTGTGTCCATAGCAAATTACTTTTTAACAGTATCGCCTTACCACACCATATTACTTTACTTTAATTGGTTACAATGTGAAACCCGATTGACAGTGGACATAACTAATAATTTATTTACTGCCCTTAACCCCCAAGCACATTCCTTACAGCCGAACCCAAGATGTATGGAGTAAAGGATTTAAACCATAAATCTTGAGCCGAACCCACTTACCAACAATGATACAGCAACCATAATGACTTAAGTGTGTCATTCAATTTACAAGAGAAACAACTGTAAACGTTTTACAACTTTGAGCAGGAGAAACTTGAAAGACCTGTTGAAAATAGGTTCAAATATCTATTATTAAACGGACCAAAACATTAATTGTTCATCCTTTCACCTGTTATAGTATCGGAGTCCATTGTGTGTAAAAATCCATTAGGGAAATAAAAGAAGTTCATTTATTGAGGATTGCAGGAGCAATTTGGAGCACCAAGGCGACGTTGATTCAAAATTTTCAATCAGGCTTTCTAACGGACGCTTTCAGATGTTTAGATAGAAGAGAAGTTGTCCTAATTAGGGGCTTATTTAAATATTAGAGGTGGAATAGGAATCAGATAGCTTGATAGACTATTTTAACTGTTTTTGTGTAACATAACAAATTTAACTCACAGCTGTTGAAGAATCATCTGGAATCGCCAGTAAGACTACACTATAAGATGTCTAACATCTCCATACCCAGTTCTGGTTTTGTGACATTTTCCAGATCAATATTTAAATAAGACATTATCGACATTATTGTCAGATTGATACAATATGCAAAATTATTTACAGAATCATTCTTCATTACAATCATTGTCTACAGGTCATTGACTTATTTAATAGCATAATTGCTAGTTTTGTTAATAATTTTCGACATTTCTCCCGATCTATAATTCGTTTACTGTATATATAAACGAAACTGTGATCAGGACGAAATTTCATACACAGCACATTTCCTTAGATTTGTCATTTTGTACAATTGTGTGTGGATCAATTATTTTGTTTCGAAATTGTTTTCAGATATACCGTACATGATAGTAATAAAAATTAATACATCTCATGCAACCTTTTGCAAAAAAACTGTGTCATTGTGCAATTTTTGTGGCATCAAGATGTATTTTTTTATTCAATTCTGTTTTTCAACAGTTGTTTCGTTTACACAATTCATCTTAAGGCCGATTTTTATTTTGCAGAACGCTACGTCACTATTTACTATAAAAATATCTCACAATAATGATCTATGTAAATGTATTTAACTTTCATTTTCACTTAAATATTCCCTTCATATTCCCAGATTTATTTACTACCAAAATAATGAAAATGTTTAATGAGTACTTAGGTTTACAGGAAAGGTAGTAGCGTGCTATTGGAATGTTGATAGTTTGGTGTGGAGTAAACAAATTTGTTGACAAAAAATACCCCTATATAAGCAAACTACAATATTGAATTTATTCCTTATAAGAATAACATGGGGAATTTAGAATTACAGGTATTTGACGTTTTCTCCGAAGCTCGATATAAAATATCTATACTTCGACTATATTTCGATTCAATATACAATTTTTTTGTAAAAATACAGTTGAAAAGAGTTTGCAAAACTTTATGTTTCTGGGATCAAGATGTTAAAACAAATGTTTCTCATAAAACCTTCCCTATAGTCTGTTCATGCTGGTTAGCGAATTCGTCTGAATAAAATGTTTACACGTTGATACCGAAATTCAGTTATCGTGCAGGATACATGTATACCTGTATTATACATATATGAATTTCAACTGACGGTTTTTAGCCTCTGGGACAACAAAACGAAAAGCAAATAAGTCCCTGGTCTAGATCTTATCAAGAGTTTTACGGTAATACCGTATTCCCTGTATGGGAAATTCCCTAAACTGTACGGCTACAGTAAAATACAACTGATTCTCCAGGTTTTATCCGTCACATAAGATATTGTCTCTAGAACAATTTCTCACAAGGAAGTTCTTCTAGTACGTCTATAATAGAACGTCTAAATAGTCTAAATAGTACGTCTAAATAGTCAGTACGTTTACAACGTCAAGACTATTTACTCAGTTCCCCAACAACACTCTGCATGCTGATGTAGCTCTTGACATGGTATCCGGTCCTCAGAGAATGACGTTGCAAGATTCCATTAAGTCAACGCATAAGTCAATACAAGATAAGGACAGGTTAACGGATCGTTCCTCGTGAATCGTGTGCTATCGATTTGAATGTGCAGAAACTCTGAGTGGGATTTGGTTAAGTAGTTAAAAAAACACGTGACCAACCTTAACATTCTACTTTTTAATTCTGTGAGTTCGGCTGTTTCATGTTTGTTATGCATTTTAACATAGTTCTGTATGCCATCGTTTGTAAATGGTAACATGTAATATATAAAAAACTAGCTGTAACCCGCGGGCTTTGCCCCGTTTAACTTCTTAATTTTCAAGATGATCTCGTTTGCATGGCTCAATCACGTCCTGGTTGAAGTTCGTTCGCTACGCTCACTCACCTTTAAGTTGGAGCTCGTTCGCTACGCTCACTCACCTTTAGGTTGGAGCTCGTTCGCTGCGCTCACTTTCCTTCAGGTTAGCTCGTTCGCTACGCTCACTTGCCTTCAGGTTAGCTCGTTCGCTACGCTCACTCGCCTCCAGGTTGAAGTTCGTTCGCTACGCTCAGTCGCTCACTCACCTTTTGGTTGCAAATTAGCTGTTGTTATAAATGTAAAAGAAATAATAGTGCTGCACCCTGTTGGTAATCCTTGTAACTTTAATGCTATTGAACATCATAGAACAGAACCAACTTGTTTAATTGAAACAGCTGTTAAGATTCATTAATTCCATTTCTCATAAGGTTAACATGGGAAACTCCAGAGCCACTGGGGCGGAGCCCGGAAGGATTTTTGGGATAAAAATATGCCTATATGTTAATCGGGAAAATGAGCTATCATCATGCCGAATTTCAGCCCGATCCGACCAGTATTTTTTGCGTTCACTTGTCACAAACATACATCCATCCATACATCCGTACATCTAAACTTTCACATTTATAATATTACTAGCTGTAACCCACGGGCTTTGCCCCGTTTAACTTCTTAATTTTCAAGATTATCTCGTTCGCATGGCTCAATCACGTCCTTGTTGGAGCTCGTTCGCTACGCTCACTCACCTTTAGGTTGGAGCTCGTTCGCTGCGCTCACTTGCCTTCAGTTTAGCTCGTTCGCTGCGCTCACTTGCCTTCAGTTTAGCTCGTTCGCTTCGCTAACTCGCCTCCAGGTTGAAGTTCGTTCGCTACGCTCACTCACCTTTTGGTTGCAAATTAGCTGTTGTCATAAATGTAAAAGAAATAATAGTGCTGCACCCTGTTGGTAATCCTTGTAACTTTAATGCTATTGAACATCATAGAACAGGACCAACTTGTTTAATTGAAACAGCTGTTAAGATTCAATAATTCCATTTCTCATTAGGTTAACATGGGAAACTCCAGAGCCACTGGGGCGGAGCCCGAAAGGATTTTTGAAATAAGAATATGCCTATATGTTAATCGGGAATGTCAGCTATCATCATGCCAAATTTCAGCCCAATCCGACCAGTATTTTTCGCGTTCACTTGTCACAAACATACATCCATACATCCATATATCCATACATCCAAACTTTCTCATTTATAATATTAGTAGGAAGGATTAGTAAGATTTACATACAATTCACATGAGTGGGACGTTAGTGTTATAGGTATTATCTTGATGCAAACTATAACAAATTTCAGCAAATTTAATGTATTTGGAGCTATTGGAAAGATTTATTGTAAACATGGTTTATCAGCTAGATTTACATAATGAAAAAGAGTTCAATCAATGCTCTTGACGTAAATAAGAACTGATGTATTTAGAGGAATCAAAATCTTTTGGTTAGGTTTCTACACGATCTACAGCAACAGGATTGGAACTTCGACGCTCTTTACACAATGATCGTGTGACACTCTAGACAATACCTCTTAAATTGTGTTGCTCTTTTTTCAGAAGATCAGATGAGAAGGAGACAGGGAGGATCTTCTGGTCAGCCGTGGGAGACATCCTGGAATCCCTACCGTTCCTCCCGTTCACGGTAAACGTTCCGGACATGATCTCTGGAGTCTGGAACTTCTTCGCAGGGTTCTTCCCTGGGGCGGCGAACAAGAGGCCCAAGAGAAACTCTACGGAAGTAGTTTCAGAAGTTCCCATCACTAGACAGGACGTTATTGACTACTTCTTCTACGATGAGTGAAGTTGGAATGTTCTTCAAGAATGAGTAAAATTGATATTATTTTACGATTATGTGTGTGAATGTTCTTCAAGAATGAGTAAAGTTAATATAAATATATTTACGATTATGTGTGTGTGTGAGTGTTCTTCAAAAATTAGTAAAATGAATAATGTTCTACGATAAGGTTTGTGAATGTTCTTCAAGAATGAGTAAAGTAAATATTGTTCTACGATTAGGTGGATGCATGTTCTTCAATAATTAGTCAAATGAATAATGTTCTACGATAAGGTGTGTGAATGTTATTCAAGAATAAGTAATATGAATATTATTCTACGAAAAGTTTTGTGAATGACAAATTGAGGTCCTTCTACAATGACTAAAAAATAAAATTCAGATATGATGAATCAATTCACGTTTGAATGATGAGTGAATGGTCTATGATGAAGAATGAATAAATTATATTCTACGAAGAGTTAATATTTTCAGCTTTATTAGGTAATAAATGAATACTTATTTTAAATGAGAGATGAACAAATAATTATCTAAGACGAGTTATTATTACTGAATTAAAAGAGAATATCCACTCAGTTCTTTTTTGACAAGAGATAAATTAATTTTCTTCTTCAACCAAACCTTTACAATATAATTCTACTTAATTCAAAACCTATAGTTCAATTTACCTTATGTGAATAAATCCCGACGTTGAACATCGACGGAGAGGTTTTATAACGAACAATGATCATCTTACCAAGTATTTTTAGGAAATTTTTTGAATTAAAAAGGGCATTTTTACCTTATATGTACCTACAAACTAAGTTTTAGTTCTCATGAAAAATCTTTTATCTTGAGAGTCTGTATTTAATTTATGAATGCTACCTCATACAATATAACATTTTAACTTACCTGTTAAACCCTCAGTTTATTTAAGGACCATACAAACATTACATTTTGATGTGATGATACATGCAAAATAAATTAATATGTAAAAACAAACTTGTTTTAGGTAAATGTTAGGTAAATGTTTTAATGCCTACACTTACAGATGGTTCAAAGAAGACAAGAAATAAATAGTTTGTTAATAAGTTATTTATTTATTGCATCGTGTAAATAATGTAGATAAAATATTAATAGTAAAAATAGGATAGAAAACATGTATGATAATTCAAAAACTTAATTATACTTAAGAAAACAACTTGCAGTATTATTATTCCTTGTCGAAGTTTAGTTTATACTATAGTTTTAGGCATAAGCGTCATGGAAAAGTTACAAAATGTAAGCATAACCTATATCAATATGTATCCTGTGTAAATCAACTACTTTTTAGTAGGACTGTTCAAATAGTTAATTTGCAAGGATATTATAACGGCAACGGTATGGATCATAATAGTATATTTCGTACCTAGGGCCGAAAATGAGGTTTTGCCGGCTCGAGATAGTTCTTAATCTTAAGTTCGAGACGAAGTAGGGAAGTTAAAACAATCGAGAGCTGCAAAACCGTTTCGGTCCGTGGTACGAACGCTATTTTTCACCACACTGTAACCTATTACCACTATTCACAACAATAATAATACACACTAACACTCAACACAACTACAACTTAAAGGTTATGTGAAGAAATAATTTGAGGAATCAGCTAAAATAATAATAAATAGTTGCTAGGCAGCGGTGACAATACAACAATTTATATTACAATGCTATGGATACTGACTGTGTATTTAATATTCATTCATGTTTTAAGAAAGTACGCAGGTGATTTTGCGGCCCTAAGGAAGTAAAAACCTGCTCGGTCCCCAAATGACGATGATTGCTGGCATGGCCAGAAAAACGTAACTTTTAGCCACCAATTAACGTATGTGAAACAGCTAAAAACATCATAGTGTGGTGAAAACATAATTAAATTACGACTCTGACCATAAAGTTAACAGGTTTTTATTAATTTAAATTGAGAGTCAGAAACAACAATGAAGCTATTAGTATAGACATTTAGGCCAGTGACGTAATTTGTTTATGTTTATCATCCATACCGTTTCTATTCTAATAGTCATGGTAATATTTGTGTAGATACCAATAAATTGTCACATAAATAATTTCTCCACGCCTGCTTAAAGTGTGATGCAATAGCTCAGTACAGCTATGTATTGCTACTAGCAGACATGTAGTGAAGGCGATTTGATGTCAAGAAGTATAATTGACTACAGCCAAATGCAAATTTCAGTGGTTTTATAGTAATTCTATTTACATTCAGGTATTAATTTTGTTATAACATCTTTCTAAATACTTATAATGAAAAATATTAACTTTATTTTTAAGAATTTTGAAAGTATAAAAATAAATGTTTATGCATTTAGGTTTTAATATTTTTTTAATAGATTTTGTAAAGCTATTTGGAGCAAAAAGTTAAATTTCTATGTTGAAAATGTGGTGTATTTATATATTGGGCTGATATTAAATTGTATACATTTGCGTATACTGTATATATATATATATTTTTTTTTTTTTATTGGGCCTGATGATAATTGGGGGTGACTGATCGAATTTACCCAGTCCAACATTTATTTTTTTAACGCATATAGGCTATTTACCGTCCCGTAAATATTGCATTTTAAGTGTAAACGAATCGATTATTTTTGAATTAAGTCTTTTGTTATATCTATACAGTAAGCTAATTGACTGGGTAGCCGAGTGGTTATTAATAGTGCTCGCCTTCGTATCTGAAGGTCGCTGGTTCGATTCTAAACCCAAATGCCATTTATAATTGGGCTATAAATTAACAATGATAATTAACAACAACAAAATTGTCGTCTGAATAGTAACAAGAAGACCTATGGGGGTGTGTGGACCGTTCCCTTTCAAAGTGTAAAAAAGGCCATTGGCGTAGAAAACATGCAAAAGGTAATAGCACAATCACATATACATATTACATAGTAAAGAATCTACTCATTATCAAATAATAAACCATTATCTAATCTAACACGTTATTTTAGAAATTTGTAACTAAATAATTATAAAATATGTTTCTCAATTAAATACTCAAAAGCACATAAACCCTAGTTGATATCCTAAAGGTTAAGTGACCAACATCTAAAATTTCACTTTTTATCATCCAGTTAACACAAAACAATTTATGATATTTATTTGCGTGCAATAAATGAGCATTAAGTATCCTACTACTTTTCGTAAAGGTATTCTACATCCTTTATGCATGTACTGGCTGTACAAAGTTATAGTACAACTTGTAGAGAACCTATTTTGTAGATCAAAATCAGGCTCTATCAGACCTGAAACTACAGAATGTTGATGCAAATCGGTACATGACAAGATCTTGACGTGTTCTTGAAGAAAACATGACTCCGAGTTTGGAGGAGTCTCGGAACAGGTCACAAAATTAAATGATGAGAGGTTTTAAAAGATGCTTACAAAATATTTGCTTCAAATAAATTAGGTCACTCTACCTCAAATACAAAATCGTCTAACAGTTTTTGAATAGTTTTTGTGACTACAAGGATGTACAACAAAAGCGTAAATGTCTCTTTACCGAGTTTTCTTTTTTTCGAAATAGGTTGACTGTGATAGCTATTTAATTTAAATGAATGACTCTGACTGAAGAAGGTGTTCTTAGTCAATCTTAGTAACCTTACACGAGGCACATATTTCTATACATCCAACTTACACTCATTTTCAACTTGAAAAGCTTTTGTGTTCATTGATTTATAGAAATTAATGATTAAATGTAACCATCAAAAGACTGGGCGGTAGCGTCGTCCTGCAATACAGCTACTAGAAGGTCATGAGTTGTGGATATAGGCACGCACTGTGGATGCGATACGCCCCTGGTGTGGGTTAATGTCCGTACTAGTGAGTCAGTGAGTACTAAGACTATCCACAGTCCCGTCCTTAAAATTAGACCAATTTGTGAATTATAAGGAAAAATTTGCTTTGGATTCCACTATAAACGTAGGTCCCTTAGTTTCCATTGGCTGTATGAGCTATTTATTGCCAGCTTTGTCTAAGGACATGTCGGCCTTAGTCACTAACAAGACTACAAGATCGTTCATGTTACACTCATATCCATTCATACTTGGCTTAAAATACCTACAATCGTTTAGTCGTCATTTCAGAATAAAGTATGAAAGTATTTTTGTATTTGTTAATGTAGAGGTTTAGAGAGTAACTATAGGGAATCAAAAAACGAAAATATTATAATAGAACATGAAAATCATAAAAGTAAATATTTTGATGGCTCTGCGTAACAAGATATAACTGGTTAAAACATAATTTTTTATTTAATTGACATTGAGGAGTTTTTTGTTTTTTTTTTCACATAAAAAGGAGGGTTTTAAACGTCTTCACCTAAAGTGGCGATCGTCGTTAGTTTGTTTTGTTTTATTATACAACTCTTTTATATTGTTTAAAAACATTTTAAATTCCTACGTCACTCGTTTCATCGTTTGATCAGTTGGTGTTTGTGTACTCCTAAATTTTGATTGCCTATTTAGAGTACATGGACTGATGATTGCGAGATATTCCCTACAGAGACTTCTTGGGAATTATTTTCCCTGTGTAATACTGTACACCTGTTATATCTAAGTGTTTTCATGAATTTGAAAAAAATTTATTTTAATCAATTTGATCAGAATGTGTATTAAAAATATTGCGTACACAAGAGAAGAAGGTGCACAACTTCGTATGAAGCATTTTGACATTATTAAAAATTAAGATATCACTCTAGATGCTCCAAATATATGTTAATACATGGTATTTACAGGTCAAAGCCGACACAAAATTTATGAATTCAAATAATAAAGAATAACTTTTAATTAAGCTATTTATTTCAAAATCCCTTTGAACTATTCAAAATTCGAATTAAAAATATATTAATTCAAGATAATACGTCAGCTTGGCCTCGCCAAGTTTGCAAAACTTGTCGGCGAGATCCAATTGATGCACAGAAGTAACATACTTATTTTTTTTTTTTACAAAAATGTATCTAGCACTACTAATTCCATGGCGTTTTGTGGCAGGCACCTATATACAGGGTGAATAAAAAGTCAAGACCCCCCCCTCCAATATTTTTCAAAGTAAATATACAGAGATATCCTTTTGGTGGTCGTGCAATCTTAGCAGGAAGTTTCATTTTATGATTTTAAAATTTTTGAGTGTCCCCCTAAAAGGGGGGATTTGGGGAGCAACTAAACAATTTTCAATGTAAACCCCCATCAAGTGACACCTCATTTTGAAGTGTTTACAAAAACTTTAAGAATGGTGAAAACCAGAGTTCGTTATCTCTTCTCTATCCAAAATGCTAGCCAATATTACCATTACGAATCAATTTTACCATTGATTTTCCCCAACATTTGACGGGCTACCATTTTAGATAGAGAAGAGATAGCGACCTCTAGTTTTCACCATTCTTTAAGTTTTTGTAAACACTTCAAAATGAGGTGTCACTTGTAGGGGGTTTACATTTAAAATATTTGAGTTGCCCCCCAAATCCCCCCTTTTGGAGGGACACTCAAAAATTTCAAAATCATAAAATGAAACTTCCTGCTAAGATTGCACGACCACTAAAAGGATATCTCTGTATATTAACTTGGAAAAATATTAGAGGGGGGGTGGGTCTTGACTTTTTATTCACCCTGTATACAAAATAATTAGCACAAGATATACAAAACTTAAATGTAGTGTGAAAAATTGCTTCATACACATTACCGTACACTCCTACAGGTTTGCCTGTGAAGAAGTCCCGATTGCCTAGTTGAGCGTCATATTCGCTCCCTCTGGTGTTTATCAATTTCACCGTGGAGATAGCTGGACCGTGGAGGCGGAGGATCGTTAGTTCGAGCAACCTCAAGGTCCTCAGGATGTCTTCTTGACTCTGGGAGTAGGAGGTCAGCTTCCAGCAGAGCTCCAGTATAGCACAGACTTCAGCAATGCCAAGAACTTTAACTCAAACTGTGTCTGGAAACATTATGGTTGATTAGCAAATACCAAAAACCAGGGTTTTTACTTAAATGCCCTTAGGTACAGTTAAAAGATTTTTGTATTCATATTACAACAGACTATCTAAGCCATTCACACTTAACGCTGAATATTTAGAAGTCATACCTGATCATCTCCATAAAAGTCTTGTTATCGAGGTTCTGCATAACACTTTTGCTAATAGCTAAAATGCTCAGTTCAGAAGGCAAACTTGTACCAAGGAAAATTTGTACCAGTAACCTAATTAGCAATGCAAAAAATAAAATAAGTGAAAATAAATAAATTAGTCGGTCAGATCGAATCAGACCCCAGCATTCTCAATGTCCAAGTTCGGTAGCGGCCAAATGCCAATGCAAATTAGGACGAGACCAGCTGATAAATAAACTGTAAAACTGGTTAGAATAGCATTGAGCATTTGGTCGATAAATCTAAATGTAATATCTGATATTGGATTGTATGTAACTCTTTATGACTAGTCACCCCAGCGTATGAATAAAACAAAAGAGGGTACAAAAGAACCAAACAGAGATCGTAGTAAGTTATGACTCGTAGTCTTGCCGTGACTTAGAGTGATTCTCTAATTTTGATTCAAAACGTAATATGTTGTCAATATTTCTCACTTTATTTTAACTAAATAATTTATTTTAACCATAGTCATAGACAAATAGTTTTCTTGTAGTATTTATCGATTGTTATTGTTACCAATTCTATCCATTGTTATGCTTGCTATTTAACCAGTTTTTTTTCCATTAGCATGTGATGTTAGTCCCTATCTGCCTTTCAATAAATCCTGCAAAATAACAAAAAAAAGTAAAAGAGCATGAGAAAAGGCAGAAGGGAAGAAAATTTAATTAGGATCTTTCAATATTGTATCTGATCAGCATGTCAACCCTGTAAAAATGGTGTTATACCGTATACAAATAAATAAATAAATAAATAAATAGAATTAAATCTAGACCGACAGCAGTGCTGCGGTTAACATATGTTCTGGCGCCCACAGCTGGGAGTGCCGTGTAGTTGTGTATTTAGTGCGCCACAACACAGCACTCCCCAGCGGTGGATGCCAGAACTTATACTAACCACAGCACTGTTGTCGGTCTATATTTAATTCTATTTGTCTATGTTTTAACCTTAACAATGAAAATCCGCTGAGATACGAAAGTAAATTTTAGTTATATTTAATGGGTTTTCATAGCATTTAGCGTACTCTATCTACTCCTTATTTATTTCTTTGGACCCAAGGAAATAAATATACATATTTACGTCTATTGCAGTGAAAACGGTTGTTTTACAGTACACGCGTTGCGTATCTAAAGTAGTTCTTTTCTCCCAGGTATAAGAAGTTAAACATGAGCTGAAAAAATGTTTTAGCTTCAAGTTAATCCGCTGACTTTCAGGAAGAAGGTGTATGTAGTCAATGAAAGTACGACCAGTTATCACAATTTAGTTCATCACATTAGCCAAAATGTCTCATCTACCTTCACTAATTTTCAAATTCGGCTTCATCAAGCTCGTGATCTGGAGCTAGTGTCCAAAAGAGTCAATTTAGGTCCTAGTGATGAAGTTTTTTATCAGAATTTATTTTACAATCTGTTCAAACGAATATGAGAACAATAAGTAAAATAGGTAACATAACAAATGGCAGGAAGCAAGCAACTGTTCATCAACAAGTCTTGCCAAAGTGATGAAGTAGGCTTATTTTTGACTAAACATTTCACACGTTACATCATGTACATAGTTAAACTATCAAAATTAAAAACCACTGGAATACAAAAGTAACCTTTAGTAACTCGTGGTCATAGTGACGGTAAGGATGACTCACATCACAATGGTTAGCGCTCTTCATAACCAGAATATGCAAATTTGCTCTAGGCGTGGACTTGACGACTGAGACTGACTCCTCTACTGACCCACGGTTGACATATTATGGCCCTGACATACCTCGGGCCTTGAGTGACATACTTTGACCTTAAGTGACATACCTTGACCCTGAGTGATGTCCGGTGACAACCCAGTGTCCGGCGCAGTGCCAGCCTTTGTCACGGGTCAAAGTACCCAAGAGGTCGATCTGGACATCGACGACTCCTAACAGAGGGCGTAAGGAAAATTAGAATGAAAACAAATTACGTTGTGGGTTTTTTAAGTTTGTGAATTGAAGTTGGTTGATTTAAGCTCTGTCTATTATCTGGGAGTATTTTCTTAACTACGAGTGTATGTGTAAGCTAAAGGATGAGATCCATTCGCAAAGGGGTTTTAATGTATTTTTTGGTCCTTAATCTTGATAAAAAAATAATTGATTTGGTGTTTTAGAATTCATATTTTAAACCTAAGCAAACTAACTTTCCCAAACTATGACCCGTCCATAACTTTTTTTTACAAGTAAACACACATATATTTACATTATTAGTACATTATTAGTACATATATTTATTATTTATTTCGTTAGCCTACCGGTATTGCACCTGTTGTTTCCTTTTTCTCTCGTTGTTGTTATGTCTCGGTTAAATATTGTTGTTGTTATGTTTTTGCACTTCATATTTTACCTGTTGTTGTTATCTATGCGCCATATTATTTGCTGGTTATGTCTTTTGCATTTTATTCCTGCTTTTCACTTTCATCCTTTTTTTTATTGTACGTATTTTAGTAGCCTTTACCAAATTTGCTATGTTTATGTATGTCTTACAATTGAAATGTTTCAGCCTATGAATGTATTTTTGTTCTCTTTTATACTGGTTATGTCTTTTGCATGTCATGTTTGCTTTCTAATTTATTCTTGTTATTGCTCATATTTATTACCTAATTATGCTATGTTTATAAAGTGATTAATCCTATTTAATGTATATTCCAATGTAAAAATGGTGTTACCGTTGAAAGAATAAATAAATAAGTAAAGGGAAGTGTCTCGGACTTAGGTGCGAAAGAGACTACTTCAATTCTCGACATTTCCAAAAATTTGAAAGATTTTGTTCCCTTTTTCCTTAATACGTTCGATCATTCTATAAAAAATGCATTCTATAACAAATCACACTAGCGTAAACGTCTATGTAAATCTAAGGTACAAAACTGAATCTACATTCTTCTCCTTATATCAAAGCTGTGCAATGGTACTTGAACTTTGCAGCAAGCCTCTTTAATCGCAGTAACAAACACAAAACATTCCAAGAGGGCATCTGCTACATAAAGATGCACAAAACAAGAGCAGCAGCAATTACAAGAATAGAGGCCTCTGATTGGCGGACGGCCAGGATCCTGCCTTCTGATTGGTCGAGGGTTCGATTGTTGCGGCGATCCTGGCCACTCTTCTGTCGCCGTCCTTCCGTGCCGCATCATGGAATTGCTCATCTTCGTTTCGGTGAGTTTAAAAATAGGAAATATTTTAATTCAGCTTATAATCAACAACTTCAAGGGTTTATGGAATAAAATTAAATAATATGTATTTCATTGTTGATTTTTCTTTATGTATTTTGACTTCACCACGATTTGGGAGGAAAGACAACTCCTACAGTTTTTAAGTGACTTACTATTAATCTTAGTTTACCTAATACACTATTTAACTAAACTTTAATTTTGCACATTTTTATTACATAACCTAAATACCCCCGCCGCAGCAAACCTGCAGACTAAGCGAATTTCCATTTGCCTGATTGGGTTTACACTAAAATGTCTCATAAAAATATCACATTTATTCATTATTTAAATAGAATTAGTTAAACAAGTACTTAGGTTTGCTGCAACATTGAGGGTAAAAGTGTTTTTTTTTTTTTTTTTTTTTTTTGTAAATTGGTAACACACATACAATATGTTACCAATACAATGTACAATGTACAATGTATGTATACAATTGGTTAGGCCTAGTAAGAAATAAAAACATTTTCCAAATTTGATCAAAATATGTCCATAAACAAGCAAACAGTTTACTTTTTCTCCATAAGAATAACATGGCAATTTTAAATTTACAGTTTTTTGGATTTTTTCCGTAACCATTGGGCGCATAATAACGCTTCAATATACTAAATTATTTGTTTTTTTAGCTCTACGAAATGGTTTGGAAAGAAATCGCTAAATTTTATTTTTTTATCAAAAATTGGAAAACCCAATTTTTACCCCATAAAAAACCCATAAGCCTCCGTTCCCATATCATGCTGGTTCGCGATCTCGTTCGAATAAATGTAGGTTTACAGGTGTATACCAAAGTTAATCAAAATCGGATCATTTTTGCTATTTATATTAAGTTGAACGGATGGTGTTTTTGGCCTCTAGGGACCTAAAGACGAAAAAATCTGTCCCGGGTCCAGGCCTTACCACGAGTACTACGGTAATAGCTTCCTTATATGGGAAACTCGCTAAAAGCGTAAAAGAATTTCATAAACTATAATTAAAATGGTTATCCTTCGCAAGTTCATGATTGTTGTAAATCCTAGAACAACCGTAAAAAATCGACGTAAAAATAACGTGGGCTTATGCCTATGAGTAATTTTTCTCTTCTTTCTGAGGATCCGGATTCAAACATAGCAAATCCCAAACGGTTTAATTTTATTAGGTTTCATTTTATTGAAACACATCTGGACTAAAACATAAAACACTTAAAAAGCGTAAACGTACATTTAGTTGGCATCCGACAATGAACTCATTAATGGTGTTATTATAAACATGATAATTTTGATATTTACGAAAATAAAACAGGTAATTTATGTTATTAAAAAGGAATCTATCTATATCTATGTTCTTAATACGATAGGGACTCTCAACCATATTTACAACCATATTACAGCCATCTGTTACAACCACATTTATTCAGCCTTTATACTAATTAACTGTGTTTTATGATTGAGGTGTAATTTTAATGTTTATGATCCAGCAGCGGAATCAAGAATCGTAACTAAATACGTCATTTCCTTTAAGGCTTAAAGGAAGTCCTTCTTTCTCTAGCCTTTAATTTATTTGTTAAGTTATCTTTCAAAGATCAAATTATTCGGGCCAACTTTCTACATAATATCGTACGTGAATTATCCTTCAATTGAACGTTTTACCACAATCAGATTGCAAAGCAGAGTCAAAACTGTTTATGAAATCGGATTTAAAATATGCTATTTTTTGTTCTTTATCGTGTAGATATAAAATCAACACATTTAATTTGTTGTAAAATAACTGTCTGATTCGCCTACTTAAACAAAATCAAAAAGGTTATAGGGTGGGCCTGTTGCTTGGTTGGTTTGAATCAAGAATTTATTTGACCATTCAACGATTACGTGCTATCAGTCTCGTCATAAGAAAAATTGCAAAATGTTGTAAAAATACATAATTAATAAAAGTTAAATAGCCTACAACAAATAAATAACGTCTGCATCATGAATCACATACATGCATAAATTACAAGGTACATTTTATGCATATAGACAAAAACCTTTTGTCTAGAAAAAAGTTTTAATTCCTGTTAAGATATTCGATTTGTGCACAGATCCCTCCATAAAGAATTAAATAACAAAATTCCTTAAGATTATAACAAACGACCAAACTAAAATGTTTTAGGCCTTCAAAAAACTTTAATTATGTGTCCAATCTGTTTAATGTAGTTACTCGGAAAGCCTTTAGCAACAACTGTATCTCACGAAACCGATATTTCGTAAACTTTGTCATGGTCAAAGCCTTTTTAGATTGGGTTGTGCCACAGCCACCTCTAATACACGATTAGAGGTGGCTGTGGTTGTGCGCGAAAAGCTTTTAGAAATCCTGAATTGACAATTTAGATATGAAGGAAGATAAATAAAGCATAAAGTATTTTTCATGGTCTCCGACATACTTTGCTAATGTGGCTCTTTAGTCATTCATCTCTATGATAAGGAATCACTAATGCTTATACTTAGCATTTTCGTGGGTTTCAAATAGGGACATTTATAAGTGGTTTGTTTGCATAAATCGACATTTATGATATAAAATTTACCTTTACGTTTGGGATATTATTATGTTTAAAGTTATAATGATGAAAATTAAGACAATGTTAAATATTGATTTTTAAAATATAAAAAGTGTCTAAATTTGACATACTATGCTTAACTGGGAATCAATATATTTCTCACCAAAACCCTGCTGCAAAGAGTTAGCTGTTTATCACTCAAATCTATAAATATTTATTGATTAATAAGAGTTTAATATTAAGTGATCATTTAAAATAGCATATAAGAATCCTGATTTGAATCCTAAGACCAAACCAAAATTCAAATTTCCTTTCGTGAAAACTATCAGATATAAACGATAATAATGTGTTTTTACAATGACTACATGAATTTCTACACCTATTCTTACCTTAAACGGTGTCCTATATATTATCAAATTGATGCCACTTCGATCAAAATACTTCAAAAACAAATCTACCAAGTTTCAAAAACAATAAATATTACGTAGATGAAAAAGTAGTGTATGAAAGATTCAAAAGATTCAAAAGCTTTATTCACCATTCAATACAAAATGTACAATAGGCTTTGTCTCATACATTAAATAACTTAACTGCTAAAATAAATAAATAAAATCATTCCAAAATATAAATAACAAAATGCAAACTCACACAGCAAACCATGCATAAAAAAACAAATCAGAAAGCCAAGCAAAACAAAAATAGCAAACTTACATACCAGTTACAGGCACAACCTTCCAGGTGAAATGGGCTTAGCCCTTATAGCCTCAAAGAAATCCTCAATTTTGTACAGAGGATTTAATACCAACCATTTTCTTATGACCGTACAAAATTTAGAGGTACACAAGGACCGTACTTCAATCGGTAGGCTGTTAAAAGATTTTATGCCTGAAACAGGAAAACATTTCTGAGTCAAACTTAGCCTATGACTAGTCAAATGTATACTATTGGAGCTTCTTGTGTCATGTGTGTGTACCTCCTTGTTTAAAACAAACCTAGACTCCTCAGACTTAATGGCAATTAAACATTTATAAATACACATTAATGACTGTCATAATCTGCAACTGTACGAACAATGGCCTACAGTGAGCATGATAGTGTGCCCCACATATAACTCGCACTGCCTTTTTTTGCCATATAGGATTCTCTGAACATGAGGGGAGTGACCCCAGAGCCTTGTCCCATACAAAATGTGAGACTAGAAAAAAGAGAAGAAAGCGAGTCTCACAAAATTAAGGGGAACTTCAAACATGAGCCTCCTAAGCAAATGAGTGACTCTACTAAGTTTTACGCAAAGGGCATCGATGTGATCACTCCACCCAAGCTCAGAGTCCAAAGTGAAACCCAACAACTTTACTGTGTTAACCTCATGTACTTTCTTGCTCTGGCTAAACAATATTCCTTGTGTTGAAGAACCTATAGTTCTGTAAAAGGAGTTTCAAAACACACGTAGGTTATAAAACGTACTTTTGAAATGTCTTTCAACATATAGGAAAACTTAATTCAACATGTTTTTCAAAATTAACTTTGATTATTTCCTAATCTCCGCACAAATACGAAATCTCTTTCAAACCATCTGTTGTGTTTGAGAGCTTTAAACCCTCATCTAGTGAACTTTTTTACAAGTTCCCTTCCAGCTGATTTATGTCCGTCTACCCAGAGATCTGCGGGTTTCTTGCCTAATCACCCTGGGGCGACGTGGGTTGACTTTAGCAGCTATTCGAGCATTTTGCACGATCGTAAACCTTACCCACGAAGCCCACAGGTGGTCTCTGACGTGTCTTAAGTTGGATTGTGTTGTAAGATTTTACATTATGATAAAAAGTCAGTGTTTTAAAATTTAAATACCATATGTTACCCTGGGCACACAATCATTTCATTGTTTCCCATATATATGCATAAAACAAGAAGGGTTTTCATTTAACATCCCATTTCCAGCCATCTTACTTTACCGACTATCACGATTGAGGTGTAATTTTAAAGCTTATGATCTAGTGCACATGCGAATGGCAATTAAGAAGGTTATTTCTGCTAGGGCTTCGCCCCCTCATGTTTAACTTATATCTAGATTCAATTTCAAAGTTCCAGTTATGCAGACCTACTTGCTACATAACTGTTTAAATGTGAATTGTAATTTAACAGCTGTTGTGGTTGAATATTTAACCATAGTCAGATTATTGTAATCAATAGACAAAACAGTTTATGAACATTTAAAATAGTCTACCTTTTTACAACTGTGACCTGATAGAGATAGATCAATCATTCTATATAGTATTAATTTATTGTAAATTCAAATACAGTATACAATATAGGTTCTATTTACATAAAAACTGTTCCAAGCCGACGCAATCTTTAGAACAATCTACATTCATTTTACTAGTATAGAGGGGAGGGCACTGGACTCATTTTCCTTGGAAACCTGTATTGTACCCTATTAAACTGCGCAATTTGAGTACATTAAAGGTTCTAATATTTCCCTACATGTTTTATCTTTATCTCTTCTAAGTTGTTGGTAGAAAAATTATCTTTTTCTGTAATTATTGAAATATTTTACACACACACACTTTGACAATGCGTTTACTACGAAGCCTTGTCATTTCTAGCTTGGTAGGCTATAACAAATATTTACAATAATTCTGTAATATTTTGGTAATATACTACATATAGTCAATGATACTACTAACAGTTTGTAATCGCCTTAAAGGACATTTTCAAATAATATTTAGCATTGTATGGCAGGGGTATCTTCTAGTATCTTATATTTCCAAACTAATTAATCTTTTTTCAACAGTAAGCTGTATAATATTTCCCATTGGCAGCCATTGACATCTATTATGAAAGGTGTGGGCGGGTTGAGACAACAAAACGAACAGACTCTCAGAAATCCGATCTGGTCAAACAAAACAATACTCAATATTCAGTGAGCCAGAACTGGTCGCGGTTCCTAACCTTCAATCTTCTTCTTTTTTCACCCATCGAGATAATAACCCCATTTTAAATTAACTTGGCAGAAAGGCAGCCGCCAAACAAATTACGGTGAATTAACAAATGATCGACGTTTCGTTGAATTATGGTGTTAATAAGGATTATAGCTTTCGTAATATTCATAATCTCTATAAAATCCGTTGATTGTGGTAGCCCAGAAGAAGTTGATCTCATGATTAGCAACAAAAATGTTTTGGGTGTAATTTCAGGATTGTGTGATGATTTGTTGTTCAAATAAAACATCTAGATTACAAAACGTAACAGGTTCATAATAAAAGTGACAACAATTAATAATAAGATCATTCGTAGTTAACAAGAGGTTTGAAATATATTCAGATAGCTGATTGGTGGTTACTATTTGCATGAGTTTGTTCATTGGAAAATGCTAAGCAGGTAGAACAATATATTTTAGCTATGCAAACCTACATTTCTGATATAGAGTTACATATTTGTTAGGCGGGTGGTTTCCTTATATTATGTGCTCGTTGGGTGGTTTATGTAGAAGGGCTATGTGTTGTCCCACAAATATTGAAACAAAAACTGTATGGATAATAAACATAAAAAATGATGTCACTGACCCGAAAATAAACATGATTTAACATTGCAAACCCATATGTTAATGTGATAGAACTCTGAACAGTCGCGTAATTTGTTTATGTTTATGATCCATACCACTTTCTGTTCTAATATTCGTGGGCTGTCCTAAAAAATCACTATACAAATGTGAGAGTTTTCAATAGTAGCCATCAAATCCGGCGTGTACGAATAAATATATTTTTCAATGATAATTTGAGTCTAAATTGGTAAAATACTACACATTCATTACCGTAAATTACTTATTTAGTGCGATCACTTTGATAAAGAAATTCCTTTTTTTCAAGCTCACCAATGAACACAGGTTATTCAAAATCGGTAAAAAGCACTCAACACAAAAAATAATGATACAACCTTATTTTAAAAACTGCCAGACAAAATGAGATCATTTTGACGTTTAATGGCGTTTTCGGTCGTGTTGCATGCGAAATTAAAAGGGTGTGAGCAAGGCGATATATATTTACTATCGCATAATCGCGTGTAATGAGAGGGAACAGCGTCGGACCCAGCGCTGCCCCTTGAGGCACGCCAGTCATATCACGTGATCTTCGCATCTGAATCTCCCATCTTGTTAAGGCTCGACAGATCTTTGAGTTATAATATTCTAGCACAGAGAACATGAACTTCTGTTTCATCAAGTAACTATTTTATGGTGTTGGCCAAATGTGGCATATATTTTTTTTTATTTTAAGACCAGTGTTTAAGAAATTATTTCGTTTCGTACCACTTTTTAATTTCGTAATGATAACGATAACTCGATTTTTATTGTACATTATTGTATTTTTTATGTAAACTGAGACGTTTTTAACTTGAAGCGAGTCATTTTGTGTAGCAGCAAAAATAGAAGCATATATATTTTTGTGTTGTGAGAAAAGCTAGTTAAGCGGAGTTTCGGTACCCCGGGTTCAAGGTTCAAATCCAAATCACGCTAACTACCGATGGCACTATGACATAATGTCGTACCCCTCTAGGCCCATCGATGAATATAATACTACCATAACTAAGGCCTGAACTAAGGTGTAAAATAATTATTAGGGCACGTAGACCACTGTATGACGCATTCCGTACAAATTTATCATCGAAAAAAGAATTAAAACTCAAAAGGTCCAATTGTACTTGTTGCTTTGTCAATATTGTAATTAATCAAAGAATCGCATCCATGCACTCAAGTAACGGTGTTATCGCCTCCAAGGCCATCCCTACTATTTTCAAAAGACTAATCAAAACCCCATCGAAACAAATCAGACTAACTCCGTCCCACGCTTCCTCTAGTCCTGCTTTGTCTTTGAACGCCTCCAGATATAATTATCGGTGTCAAAACACATGTCTATGATACACTGTAGTTACATCTAGTCGTGAATACCGTTTCATTTTAATTCAGGTCCAAGTTTACAGTTCAATAGGCTACGTGTATTTATTTAATGGTTTCGATATGATGCATTTCTGCATGAAAGATTAAAAGCTTCGATAAATTGTTTTCGAACTCAATTTGAATTGGCTTACACGTCTGGCAAGTCACTTAGCGCTTAGTAGTACTTGTTTACTCAAAATCTAATGCACTTTCGCACACCAAGACTATTTAAAAAAAATTACAAACAGTAAATCTTCTGATAAATACTTGAAACTATAGTTGGCTAGTTGGCTTGGCATTTTATTACTCTTCGGTATCCCTTTCTTCTGTGTGACTACCGCAGAGGTAACGTTGAGTACAAATAAAATACTTCCAAGTTAATTCTTCAAGACAAATTAGTGGCGTGTTCTGGCGTGTTAAGAAGCTCTAACTCGTTCCAATTTGAGCTGGAAACTCGCTCTTGGTCGGATTCCACAGACAATATATCAGGACGAGTTCTTAGAGGTTCAACCACTCCTGGCATTTGGCGAACCCCGCCCAACGACCTTGAGGGCTCCGGGACGTCCGTTATCACCAAGTAATTGATAACTGGTCTTGATTAAGTTTTGAGCCGATCTTCCCGCCCCAAACTGATTTATTTGGAAAAAAGTTCGTGGTAAAAAAAGTAATTTGTAGCTTAGCTAGATGTAGCTTGGACTCATTTCGTTCGTTCTCTTGATGTTCTAGTCCAGTGAGCTGAAACCACTGGACTGAGGCTGTTTTAGGAAGATGTCCTCTTCGCTCCTCAGCCAGGAAAAGGGCATACTTTTTTTGCAGCTGCAGCTTTTGATGTTGAGATTTGCATGCAACAACTTACACAGTAACTACTAACTAGCTAAGTGATTTTGGCCGGCAACTAACATTCGCAGGACCAAGGGTTAAATTGAGTTGAGAACATAGATGATGAAGTATTTATAAAATCATGCTTTCAACGGTTGGTGATTAGAATAAGGTATTACATTGTAAAACTTCTGAGGTAACCAAGTCGTGAAAACCAAAGTTTTCCAAGATATCGTTTTGTCACTAAATCCGTATGGATTTTAGTGGTGAAGTTCTCAGCCTGCAGAAAATCACACCACCTAAGAGACAAACCTTTTTTTGTTTTTCTGTACCACCCAGATTCTTGTTCTTGTTGTTCTCCAGGTTAGATATGGCCTCCCAACTACCAAATTATGGCATTAAAGATAAAAGCCGTTAGTGACAAACGGGGGTTTTAACCCTAAAAGCCACGTGATTCAATACTACTCCAACCAAGCAAAAGCATTTTGATAATAATAGAATCTCATCTGTCATCTGTTCATAAATTCATCATCATAAAATAAAAAAATAAAATAAAATCATAAATTTCATTTCATAAAATCATAAATTCATAATTTCAAATAGAACTAACAAAAAATACTTGCCCTTTGAAAGTTTTGAAGATTGTATTTTGAAAATACAGGAGAGATTTTTAATAGTTGCCTATAATTTGGTTTATTGACTTTCCATAAGATTTTGAAAGGAGGGACAGTATGCTAGATGTAAAATATCTTAAGCTTTGACCACCCTTCTCATGCTATTTTGAAACAAAATCTTATAAAACTTGCCATATTAAAATTCATAAATAACCTGAATAATTAACATATCATATAGACTAACCAATACAAGCAGACTTCCCTATCCATTGAAAATTTTGAAGTCGTTTTTGTGTACGGTTCATGTGCGGTGACACTGATTGCTAGTGTCAACGAAATTCTGTTTCTATTATATTTTAGATTCAATTGCATGATTTGTGCCTTACTGAGTTACTGTTTAGTTATATAACTAGTGGACAAGTTATTGTTTAGGTTTAGGTCATTTTCTTTAGTTAAAACGGGGTTTTAAATGACTGAAATAACAAAAGAAACAAATTGTAAACAAAACACAACCTCTACATAGTGCACCCGGCAACGGGCAGAACTATTAATAAAACTGGCTTCAGCTGTTCGGTTCCATAAGGATGAGAAATACTATCTTATTTAGTAGTCACTATCTACACAAAACTGATCAAATTAAAATTTCTGCAATTAGTTCAAGTAGGTAGCCTCATTTTTCATCTGGGCTCTTCTCTAGATTCTTAGAATATAAATTTTGGTTATATTGGATTTTGGATTGAGCAAGATCGCCTGCGAATTTTCTGTCTGAATCTTCCTTGAATAAGATGACTATTAAGTTCTTCAACAAACGATGGTATTACAGAAATAATAACAGTATTAACTTGTCTCACAGTTGTGTGTAGCTGTCAACTCAGCGCCCCATTTCCCATTGTTGATGGGGCCCCCGATGCTGGTGGCGCCGCCGTACCTACATTACGACTACGGGGGCTACCAGCCCCGCCCTGCTGTGTTCGCGCCTCAGCCGCCCCGTCGACGTGTCGCTCCAGCCACAACCTCGCCACCATTGGTCTCCAACACTGTCACCTTCACACTAGACCCTCATGCTGACCCTGATGATACTTTTGAAGTCGCTCAGTTTCATTCTCAGGTGAGGTTGGAATTAACTATTAAAAGACCTATGTGGATGTAAAGACTCTTTGACAGAGGATTATAAAAGAATACGAGGGGGAGGGTACCACTAACTATGAAGGTTGAGGTTTGGTTGGTACAACAACAGAAGTGGGAGACTGTTTTCTTCTAAGAGATTACAAATTAGTGCCTCATAAGTTGAACCGTTGAAAGTAGACTCTGGACAATTTCACTTAGCCAATTTTAGTAGGTACCAGTACTGGCTTTGACTATTGATACAACTTCAGTATTGGCTAATTTCCTTGAACGTGTATTAGAGATTATCATTAGTTAAAAATTATCATTGGTGTGACTCTGCAGGATGCTGCTGGTAGAGTGGTGTTTGGCTTTAACACTCCGGACCAGTCAAGGATGGAGGCTAGAGCTCTGGATGGGTCTGTCAGAGGATCCTACAGCTACCAAGACCCGACTGGCAAAACTGTCAAGGTTTGTACAAGAGTAAAACTATTCCAGTTGGATTGATTATGAATATGAGAAAATCTGAACCGTACCGGTAGTCAAAATATTTTTTGTTCGGGCATACATTCAAAGAGAATACTAAGGAGAACTAATAGTTTTAATTGCCAGTACCAGAGAAGTTCTCAACAGCTTAGAATACAGTATTCGTTTTCAAGTGATTTCTCTTAGAAGACATTCAATCTTTCTCTTACAAAGGGAAATTATTAAACAGTATAATTTCAATTTGAAAGGTTTTCTAGCATCTTTGTTCTATATAATTTTCACTCTCTAGAAATGAGGTTGACAGTTAACCATTTTGCGTGTCAACATGGGTCTCAAGCAATGGAGTGCATAGAATGTATCAGGCAAAGTTTGAATTTAGGTCATACGAAAAAAGAGTGAATGAACTGTACTGATACATTTTAGCGGCAGCAATGGATAGGAATCGACAAAATCGGTTAATGTCCAGCGATCATAAAAATAAAACCAGTTTTCTTCTGTTTCCATGTGTATTTAAATGGAAACTAGAGGTTGTCCAGTGTTACTAAAAAACTCTACCAAAAATATGTAATGTACAGACTCCTCTATTTTTACCCCACGCCTAATATGAAACATATGATTTGAATTTCTCCCATTTGCTTTGATTTTCTGTTTATTTCGTTGTTATTTTGTCACCAGCATAGGAACCCATAAGGCCCATGTTTATTTTTTTACTTTAAATATATTTTTTGTGCTTATTTTCGAGCCTATTTTAATTCATATAGAGTTTCTGCACATCTACAGAAAAATAATTTTCTAACAGCATGTGTAGATTTTCTCTGCAATGCACAAGAGCTGAGAAAAAGTTTTTAAAGAAACATGCTTGCCTATTAATATATGTATTACTTCAATCCACAATTGTTGCAAATATGTGTAAATTTTCCACAAACTTCAGAATTCAAGCCATAAGTAGTTTAGATCCTAAATGTTAAATAACATACAAACAATATTCAACTGCTTTTGTGGGGTTTGCAAGTGGAGCAAGGGTGGAAGAAGCGGCTAATCTCTTTTAATTGAGAAAACATAGATTGATTGACTTTACATATCCAGATGCACTACTGGGATGACGGAGCCGGGTTCCACACAGTGGGCAACAATCTTCCAGCCTCTTACTACGCCTCACCTCAATACACACCTGAGGTACAGGCTGCCAGGGAGAGGCACTTCCTGCTGTACAGACAGGCACTAGCCTCCGCCATGGCCCAGAGTCCCGGGTGAGAATCATTAGTAACATTGTAAAGATCAGGTCATTTAGGATATCTTTGACCATATTTTTTTAACCAGTTAGTTCTTAATGTATCACTTTTCTATATTGATCCTTTCAACTGCTTTTTTAATCCGTGTAGACATCTAAAGACAGCAAAATATTGTTACATTATAAGCCCATTGGGCATCCAGAGTGATAACTGTAGCATACTCTGTGATGATGAGTGCAAGCGACAGAGGTCCCAAACCAACTGTTTGGCTTTTCAGTACAAAGACGCTACCACTAAGTTATTGTGTTTGGTAACCATCTGAAAACTACTTAAAACATTACTTTTTTTTACTAAATCTTCCTAACAGCTCGTACGAAGACGACGATACTGAATCAGCTGGTTCGTCAGTGTCAGAAGACAGTACAGATGCCTCGGTCTCAAAGCCTGAATCAACGTCAAGCCCAGCCAACCAGGAGGCTGACGACAGTCAAGGCGAGAACGTTGAGGATGATTCTGACTCAGCCGAGAATGGTTCAGTGACTATCGAAAATCCTGACTTCTCTCCTCTCAGAATCAAAGCAGCTGAGAGGAAAGGGGAGGCAGAAGCTGATAGGAAACAGGTAGCTCAGGTGAGTAAAGTTGGGCTGATTTATGTTATGATTTTGTAGCAACTGAAGGAAAGTGTGTTTCATCCCACTTGTAAATGGTAACAGTTCAGTTCAGATGGTGTCAGTTGAGGCTTTTACAACTAATACAGGTTTGGCAGTTGACAACACATATTTATGTTTAAGTTGCACACAGTTTTTTTATTTAAATATTTATTAAGTATTCAAATATGCTGCCTCTGAAATAAAATTGTACCAAATAAACTCAACAGACTACCTCCCCCCAAAAAAACATCATATATTAGTGTTACAGTATATTGTGTGACCTTTTTTTCTAAGGTAAGTTGGATCAACTAAACCCTTTTCCTAAACAAATCATGTTATAGTTTTAGATACCTAAATCATCCAAAACACTGTGATCTTATCAGACTCTTGTTCTTTGCCTGAAGCTACCAGTGACGGATCTACACCTGGATCATTCCTCGGGTCTGGCTATAGCCCGCACTGGCTTAGACGGATTCCAATACCTCGTCCCGATACCCGACCCAGCCCAGAGCCTGTCTGAGAGTCATCACGCCTCACTGTACGGAGCAATCCCTGTAGCAGCAGTGCATGACACCCAGGTGACAGATAAAACAAAATCTATTATTTTTAGCAATAATCAGAACATTAATGCTTACAGGGGAAATGGCAACAATATGTGTATACTGTAGTATAGAATTATAATGTTAGATAAGTGGATATAGTGTTGGCCTATTAAGAAGGTTACTATTTTTATCCTGGGAAAGTAAAAACTTGTTGACGGAGATGGTTCGAAACTTGACCCAGCTGTCCTCAATTATTAGGCTTTTAATAAATGTCCTGGCTAACCAACTGTTCTTTACATAGTCAGTAAAAAGCTACCATCTCATCCACACAACATTTTTTCCCTTTGCTCTAAAAATCATCGTGTTAACTTTATAGAAATCTAATCTAACCTTAATTAAAAATTACCAATCCAAATAATACATTTTTTTTAAACCTATTCTAGGCTAGAGCTCTTTATCAAAAATGCAATAAAATAAATATATTAGGTTAGGTTTGCTATTTCGTTTAATAGCAAGATCAGCTGCTTACCTGTACAGAGTGTGCGTCTTCTCAATAGGTAACACACATACACACACAAAATTGAAATACTTCATGAGCACTGACCACTATGTCAATCACAAAGAAAGGAACATTGCAATCAATAAGAATTGGTATTAGGAAGCCTTCAATTGTTGATGCTAGACACATAATAGCTTAAGTCTTTGAGACATAAGTCAAGATGCAAACTAGTAAATATCTAAAATCTGCCAATATTTTAAGTTTTTATAATTTTTACGTTTATTTGCAGGTTTCCCCGTCGCAGCGGAACAGTCAACTAGACGATCATCAGGTCAAACCTGTACTCATCAGAACTGCTCCCATTATTGCTTACTGAGGCTCAAGACTGGTTTTTCTACTTTAGATAACTATATTAAAGACAAGAAAAAAGTTAAGTTATCTAAATAAACAACAAAATTTATTTTGGGTCTTTGCAACAATAAGATTTGATTTAAATAAGAAAATTTATGATATAAGTTTTTTTAGATTTTTTAAATATGGAGGAGTAAGGGGAGAACATATACGTTATAATTAAAGGGCAGAAGAAAACATACAGGATTTGTTTCTAATAGAGATAAGTTCTTTGGTTTTCTTCTTTATTTGGGGAAACGGGAAAAGAATGGTTTTAGACCGAGTTGTTGTAAATAGTTAATTTTTGGAGATAGTAGTGCATTGGCTTTTAAAAATATGCAAACTATAGCCTATGTTTTTCTAGTTTTCTTTCTTTGTATTATAACCAAAGTAAGAATTTGGTGGAGACCAAATTTTATTGCCTAACTTTGATTGATAATTTGTGTATTAATCTGTAAAGGAATTTGGAATTTGTGTTAAGATATTAACAACTTTATGCTCAGTTTATATAAAATAAACTTATTCATTAAATGAATTGTTTCTGTCATATGTTGTTATTTATTATATTCATTTTTTTACCATTATTAGCATTAGCTGTGGTTGATATTAGTTTATGTTTGTTTATTAAACAATTTCATTCGGCCTACAAGCATTTGGCATAGATAAAGCATACCGTACTCATTGTGTTGCTTTGTCTATGCTATTGGATACTGAAGTAGACATCCCATCTATAAGGACCAGAAGCCAATTTTTTTTTATTAAAAAAGAACTTAGTATGAACATTATAGTCAATGGTATGAGCCAGTCACGGAAAGCACTAGTGTCTAAAATACTATTTTCATTTTCTACCTTGTTTTTTTTGTTGCGGAAAGTGTTTATGGGCCATAACAGTTGCTATAGCTCACAATTAGTTGTTTCATCAGTTTGGCTTGCTAAAATAAATCATATATTCAACAGAAATCAGTAATTTAGATCAGCACAAACTGTCGAAGATTTTGATGGCTACAACTTTAACATGGGGATGGAATGTCTAGTTGTACAGGGTGACACAAAGGAACCGGACGTTTTTTAAATAAGTAGTACACAGAAGTTAAAGGGAATAAAATGGTTCTAATACTGTACAAAGTGAGGTAAATATTTGCCATTTGTTACAAAACAGTCATTTTTTTAAAATGACGTCATGCAAATGGCGTTCATGTACTTCTCTACAAATGTTCATTCTGGTCTGAAAATCATCTGAAACTCGGGTCAGGAGGTCTTGTTCAATGCCATTGATATCTTCTGTGATTGCCAACTTCAAATCCTCTAGGTGCGTGGTTTGGGAGCATAAACACGCTCCTTAAGAAACCCCCAAAGTAAGTAATCACTAGTGGACAAGTCAGGTGACCTTGGTGGCCACAGTATGTCACCAAAGTGAGAAACCACCTTGTTAGGAATCATTCATTCAATACTGCTCTCACTCTGGCGATGTTTTCGGGTGTTCTCGAAATTCTAACAAGGCCTGGTGGTTTCTTTCTTCTTTTTATTCCCAGTTGTTCAGAACCCTGACACCCATCTTAATAGCATATTTCGGCTTGGAACCGTTCCGTGGCGTTCAATATTAAAATGTCCACTGAATTCCCACTGGGTTTTGACGACGGATTCACTATTTTGGACCAAAGTATTGTATGCGTAAACGCGATGGTCTAAGGTCCACTGAGCCATTTCAACAAAAATGGCAAGCCTCACTGAAGGGTATGACATAAAATCAATCTTCCTACCACGTGCGACAACAATGGAACAGCTGTTTAAAAAACGTCCGGTTCCTTTGTGTCACCCTGTATTAATAGTCAAAGCTACAAGTCTCTAAAATCTTATTCAATCTCATTACGAATCTCAATAATCGACAGTTTCCAATTTGGAAAAAACTGTATTTTATAATTTGAAGGTGAAAATATTGAAATAATATTTTTCCATCATAAATGTATTTGATTAAACAAACTTAATATAAAATGTAAAAAAATAAAATCTTACCTTAATACAGTTAGAACATTGTATAGCCTACAGTAATACAACAATAAAACTAATTTTTATTTACATTAACATTCTTGTATCCACATTCTTATTTGGCACAAAATATGTACTATAAGAATGTTGCCTTCACGATATTGCTACAATATTTTAAAGAATGAGTAAACTTATTTTGCTGACAAACTCTAATAATACAATACATTGGAGTTTGTGTGCAACCTTGAACCTACAACTACACTGCTTAACATTTAACATTTAAATACAAAATAAATCTAGATAGGCCTACTAAAATTTATTTTTATGTAATAATGTTTCCTTATAATATGAGATTTCTAAGGAGAATGTGCAGAAGTAAAGTAAAACAATAGTAAAGGTAACTATAACCCACCATAAACTCATTTTGACTTTATTAATATATATCAAGTGAGCGAGAACTCTGCTAGTATAAGGAAAAGTAAGTACTTCATTTAGAAGCAGAACTCATTGATATTGAAACATTCCACGAGAATTATATACGATTCTAATCATATAAGTGGTACAAGATCAAAAGATACAATATAATACATATTACAAACTCGACCCATGTAGCAAGTAACAGTAAAAAGTCCTTACTAAATTTGAATAATAAATTAAAAACAAGAACAAAAATTGTTTTGTTCCGATTTAGAATTGAAATTGAAATAAACCTGCCACATACATTTATCTTACTAAATTTGTTTGTTGCTCTAAACATTTTTAGAAAAAAACAATTATTTATCAGAACACTTGCCACTTGAATTATTTATTTGCTTGTTTGCCTACTACAACTTTCTGTCAAGTGAAGAAGAACGCTGGTAGTCGACAGATCCACTTTTTTTAGACCATGGATCTACTTATTATGAACTTAAGATTCACCCATGGACCTTTTACTGTGCATGCTCTTATGGAACAAAGATCCATTTATGGACTACACCTGCTATATCATTCATAGGGAGCCTTGAGAACTTCTGCAGGGACCTCCCTCAGCTGTGATTGTCAGGATAGTCCGGATTGTTCCTTCAGGACTCTGATCCGGGAGTAGACCAGATCCCAGTCCAAATATGCCCCTTCCAAGTGTCTCTCACCCTTGTAGTCACTGCGGCCATGTAGCACTCGGAGGTTGTTGAACGTCAGAATGTCTCCTGGAAAATTGCATTTGTACTCGGTAATAATTACTATGAAATTAAAAACAATTATTTCTATTTTTAATATTTTTTTACATCATGTCAATTTACCAAAAAATCTTTTTTTTATTTCTAAAAACTGAAATAGAAATTTTTGAAACGTAAAGAACAGCTATTTTTGGATTTGCAAAAAAGATGGAATATTATCCATCTTTCTTTTGCAAAAGCGAGAAATAGGCTAGAGCATTGTAATACAGTTACAATGCTGTTGCTCATCCTGATTCGGGATTCCAACAGTAGTATCAATAATGGTTGTTTGGTAATTTGAGTCTTTTGATTCCATTTCCATACAGATAACAGAAATTGATGGTTATTATTTCCACCTTTTTGATATTATTTTATCTTAAGAGTCTTTAGAGGATAGCAGCCATCTTGGATGATTTCAAACCGCTGCTGAAGAGTTATTTATCGTCCAAAAGTATTTTTCAAACACCAGAAGTAATTATAATTTACATATCTAGTAAACTGTGAGATTAGAAATTTTCTTCGTAGCTTTGAATTGTTCTCCAAGGGACAGAATGTTGTCCATGTAAGCTAACAGCCATCTTATTTTCCCCGCCATAATATCAATGTTAATTTCGTTAATTTCAAACAGCTGCTGAAGAGTTATTTACAATCTCAAAATATGTTTTAAAACGCCAGAGTGTAATATAAATATAGTAACCTGTGAGATTACTAGACTAGACATTTTATTTGTAGTTTTTTATTTTTTAATGAGTTAGAACATCTAGGCTTAAGGGCTCTTATTAAATCTTGTATGATACTGACAATCATGATTGTACTCTCCAAGATTATTGGCTGAAATAATCATGGAGTTATTGAAATCTCATCAGCAAAAAAAGAAAGATATTGAACTCGTTCAAATTTTTTATAAATAAGAACAATCATCGCTGTGTGTCTAATTGAAATAAATAATAATTAATAAATCATAGTTTTTTAATGTTTCATAATTCTTCTGCCTAATTTCTAATTTATAAGACTGTCTAGTTTATTTAAAAAAAACTGTTTTTTCATCATGTATTCCTAATTGATTCTGGAATCAGAATACTATCCCTCACCGAGAATCACAATCAACATTTTTGGGTCAGAGTCAAACAGTTTTGGAATGGGCCCACTAGAAAAAAATCTCAATTCTATCTGAAACTCTGATTTTGATGTAATTGGTTGTGTACTCACCAGGATTGATCCTGAGTTGGACTTTGCAGTTGTGACTGTGTATGTAATGTGTGAACTGCTGTACAGCTCTATACCATGGAGACACTTGAGCTACAGGGACATGGAAGTGAGACGATCTCTGTGGCTGACTCCAGTTGATTCTCTCCACTTCCCCTCTGTTGTTCTCACTGACAACACAAATCAACATTGACATTTAATTCTTATGTTAGAAGTGGAGTAGTGTTGTGTTAGAAGGTACTTTGTACTTTTGGAATGCATGGTTTTTGCCTAGAGCTTGACAAATTTTTCAGATTTTTCTTAGAGTAAAACTTAAATTTTGTTTACATTGCCAGCTGGGTGTTTCTAGTCTGCCTCAGGTAACTAGAAAGTAGTAATACACTAGAGGCAGGTAATCTCCATAACCTACCTGCCTACTGGCCTGTAAACACGGCTTTAGAGTGGTCAAAATCTGCTTTCTGTATTTTTGAATCACACAAGGGCTACCAGTATGTCTGTAAATTAAGGTAGTCCAAAACAGAAAATGTATAAAAAAGAATGACTTCCAATTTGATTTACCTTTTTCTAAACAATCATCAGCAAATTACATTACACATTGCAGATTTTTTAATCTTTGGAACGAGAGATTACGTCTTTGTAAGACTACCAAGGAGTATGGCAAGTCCTGTTACTGGACTCCTGTCTTTGCCAAACGGGGTGGTTCTAGTTCCAATCAGCCAGAAAAGTGCCCTTTCCTATACTATTCTAGTAGGTGTCCACTTCTTAACCATGTGTCATTGGTCTTGTTTTAGGTGTAGAAAACAATAATATAAAAATTGATGCTCCTGCCAATTATTATGATGTAAGTTTGCGTAATGTGATTAATATCCGATACCAGGTTGACATACGCATGCAGATAAGTATTTAGAGGAAGAAAATGCACATGAGAGTTTTCAAAGATTGTACACTTTTGAAAAAATGGGCAGTGTGTTCATCAGTTTTCATCAAGATTCAAGACAATAATTAAAATTACCAATTGCTTACTGATCGGCATGTTTAATACAAACAGGACTTGCCATACTCCTTGGTAGTCTTACAAAGACGTAAACTCGTTCCAAAGAATAAAAACTATGCAATGTGTAAAGTAATTTGTTGATGTGTTCATCAGCTGGGCTTATTGTTTAGAGAAAGGAAAATCAATTTGAAGGTCATTCATTTTATATTTTATATTTTGGACTACTGTAAAATCACTAGTTTTAGCAATCTAGATAAGAAAACTTACGTTGATTGTTCAACACAATTTCATGAATCAATCTGTACATTTTATGAAATAAAGATGATGATGATGTTATTTGAATTAGCTTGCTTGGACACAACAAAAGACAGACTTGATTAAGACTTTCATTTACGGCCACCCTTGTAAAATGTAAGACTCTCACCATATGACAGGAGCTCTGTAGATGGTGTGGAAGCGTCGTCCGTCTTCTTCCACAATATCTTCCCAGTCTACATTTACTGTTGTGAGGATCCAGTAGTGTTGGGGATGAGTTTCACGCAGCCAATCACACGCCTCCAGACCATCGGCTAGGATACTCTGGCCTCCAAAGCCAGCGGCCTGGACTATGCAGTGGAGCATGTTCACCTGAAGCACAATATGACGTGGTAAGGATGGCTTTGGGCCAGGGGTTTTAAGAATTTTGAAACAGATAGGTTTAATAGCTGGCTTACCTTATTGATAAATACCCCCGCCGCAGCAAACCTGCAGACTAAGCGAATTTCCATTTGCCTGATTTGATTTTCAATTAAATCTATTCAAATATCATTAGGTTTAACGAGTACCTAGGTTTGCTGCCTACAGGGTAATAAAGTGTGTTTTTTAGTAAAATATTAATAGCCTAGTATAAAATAAATAGATTGGCCAAGTTTGATCCAAATATATGCATAAACAAGCAAACTACAAAAGTTTACTTATTCTCCATAAGAATAACATGGGAATTTTTAATTTATAATTTTCTCCAAAACCAATAACCATACAAAAACACTTCAATATACTGAATTATTTGTTTTTTTAAGCTCTTCAAAATGGTCTAGAAGAAATTTGGGAAATTTTATGTTTTGAGGGTCAAAAATGAGAAAAAGCAATTTTTACCCCATAAATCCCCCCATAAAACCCCGTTCCCATGGTCCGATCATAATGGTTCGCGAACTCGTTCGAATAAACGTAGGTTTACACGTTTGTACCAAATTTCATCGAAATCGGATAATTTTTGCTCGAGTTATCGTGCTGACGGACACATATATATATATATATATGAATTTGAACGGATGGTGTTTTTGGCTTCTAGGGACATCAAAATGAAAAAGTAAATCGGTAACGGGACTAAGTCTTACCATGAGACCTATGGTAATAGCTTATTCCCTATAGAGAAATTCGCTAAAATAGACAAAAATGAACAAATTAACACATACCACATGGAATTTTCGGTACTAGCTCCTTCTTAAGTAGGTGTTCTATGTATTTTGTGTTAACTTGTGCATTTTAATCTTTTTCATCAGTAAGGTGAGTCTATACTGTTAAACCATTAAACAATCGTGAAGTAGAATATTCGGTGTGTTGTTGGTGTAAAATCTTGTCGGAGAACAAGGAAGGAAAAGTCTTAAAATCTTGCTGCTCAGAGAATAAAAAAATATCATATTGAGATGAACTACCTATATTTGCCCTAATTTATTCACTATTGCAATAAAAACTCAAGGACGTCCGTTTATTTTCTCGCCGTGCAAATGTGTATGATTTTCTACTAAAAGTGTTTGTTTTTTATTCTCTTTTTTTTCCAAACATATACATAAACTACTATCCAATTTTAAAAAGGGCTCCTATTTTATTTATTTTTTTTTGTGATTGTTTTTCACATTACTTCAGGCTAGACCTAGGGGTTGCGGCATCATCACTTCGATAAAATCCATTGGTGATTTGGCGGGATTTGAACCCGGGACCTCAGAGACCAAAGTCCCGCGCTCTAATAACACTAGACCAGCTCGCTCCCCTGAAAGCTTGCTCCCCCAAAAAGGGCTCCTATTAGAAAGATAATCACAGAATGTGACTCTTCCTTGGTAGGAGCTTCCATTTTTTTATCGGCAACAACAAAACTAATCATCACATAGAGATGGGGACCAGCTAACCTAACTACATACCCCAGGCTTGTAGTGGTAGTAAGGTAGATCGGTATGTAGTTGCAATGAGCCACTCAGATATGCTACGTTACTTGTCCCTGGCTTAGCTTGTACAGTAAATGTTTCTCTGGAAAAAAAACATGTTTTGTGATCAGTACAGGTACTGTACCGTTCAGAGGCAAATGCATTAATAGAAATTGTTTCGTAAAATTGACATTCTTCTTGTTCTTGTTGCTCATCGTTATAGCAAAAGTCCTTTTTTCATCCATGGAATGAAATACTTCTTTAGTGTAGATTTATCCCTATGATCCAGATGTTTAATGGATTAGTTTTTGTAGTCACTTCTGATGAGATGGACTTTTAAAATCAATGTTTAATTAATGTTTAACCACCAGCAAAATTATTTTACAGGTAAAACAATTGTTTAACAAACATAAACCTCTAAGCTAGAAGATTTTTCTTTGCTCAAATTATTTTTACATCACTTCGACATAACCCCATGTTTTATTTAATTGGACATTCCTTTAACACACCTAATATTTTAGTCGGATGATTTTAATGAAGGAATCATATGATTGGTTTAAGATCTATTTAGAAAATCACAGACAAATAACAACAATTAATGGGGTCAATAGTGGAGAAAAAATCTAAGATTTGATTTTGGAGTCATCCAAGGAAGCACATTGGGTCCTTTATTATTCTTAATTTAGTTAAACAATATTGTCAAAATTAATATATCTGGAAAATTATAGCTTTTTGCAGATGATACATTGATTCTTTATGAAGGTGACTGAGTTGGGATTCAGTTTTTAAGGGGGCAAAAAGAGATTTATGCAAAATAAAGACTCAGTTTGATCAAATTCTACTCACACTTATATCAAAAACTAAATTCATGCCAATCGCTTCAAAGGAGACAACAGATACACTTTCGACAAGCTTGGAGATTAAAATTCAGTAGCCTACCTTGCAGTTCTGACTCAATTGAAATTCAAACAAATTGGGGGTTTATGATAGACAATAATGTCATGGGAGGTACATGTCAAATAAGAGTGAAGAATGAGTGTAGAATGAGATGCCTTGTGAAGCTTTGTTACTGACTAAAACCAGCCGTTTTATTAACCATAGGACCATTTATTAGAAGCCCAGTGAGAGCAACAAGGACAGGATACTCACCCGTAGTAAGTTTTCTTGAGGAACGCCACTTTGTCTGCCAAGGGTTGTATCTGGCCTGGGCGAGTTTGTGCTCCTTCTACTAAAGCCACCCCATCAACAGCTAGACTCTCTAGCCAATCTAAGAGCACAGAGTCACTGTGCAAACATAAAAAAGTACTTAGCACAACATGTTTAAATTTTACACCCACAGGTCACTTTTAACTGACCAAAGTATACGTATTGTAATCTGAAAAAAAAACCTTTTAAAATATAATTAAAATCGCCAGGTACAAGAAAAGTAAAAAAATCGCTTCCCTATTCAGATAAAATATTTAATTGTTTAAATTTTCTTTTGTTTGTATAGGATAACGGGCATAAAATGTCAAATTTAAAACTAAACAAGATCCTAAGATTTGCCTGAGACTTAGACTAGGATTTGGATAGTGATAGTGTTATTTATTTTTTTAATTTGGTTTCCAAACATAAGCTTTGGCAGTTACTTATTGTAGCGGACACATTAATTTACATAAGAACAATACATACGTTAACTTTTCATAAGTTCTTGTCAAACTTTCAAAATCTTACATCAAGAGTATTTTAGAACAAGCATGTAGGTAAGGTTCATAAAAGTGTTTGGTAATGTTTATTACTTCTGAGTGTAGCTAGTCTTTTCAAAGAATATGAAGGGAAGGGAAATATCTGGGATCTTCCCACCTCTATGGATTATTAGATTCATAGTGTTCAATGACATCTAGATGTTGTCAATTTTAAAAAAAACAGTGGTACAAGGGTGACTTATTGGTTCCTATCATACCACTCTCAAAACTCACCGTACATGCACGGCCGCCTTTAACTACAGCCCGCGGCCTGGTAGAATTGGCAACGTCGCAAGTGGTGTTGTCTAGCACCGGAAGTCCCATAAGATAACAGGGCAGACTGGTGGCACCAGCTTATTAATTCGCACTTTATTGATTTAAATTTATGGACATAAATTTATTAAAATAAAACATACATAATTGAAAACTGAAACAATATGAATTAAAAATCTATATACATTTTAAGTGGAGTCAATATTCATAGTACAGTAACCAATCTTTCGTAAATACACAAATACCATTAGCTGCTTCCAAACAAAACAGCTGTTACAACACCACTTGCGACGTTGCCAGTTTCATGGCCGCGACCTGGAGATAAAGGCGGCCGTGGTACCTGTGTATCTATAAAAAAAAATATATTGACATTAACAAACAACAAATTGCTTAATAGTTTGTCTGGAATGGTACTGCCCCACTCATCCTATACTCATCTCCATTCATACTTGGCTTGAAATACTTACCTTTGTATGGTCGCCATTTCAAAGTAAAATATCAAAGTACTGGTGTCTTTGCAAGTCACGACGAAAACACAACCTACCTCTGTATACAAATTTCTTAAATATTCAGACACACACCTGTCCAGCAATTGATGGTATTGGAATCTCCGTAGTATTTTTGAAAAGTCTTAACCAAATTCTTGGCTTTACACACTTTCTTGAGATGACCTACTCTCTGACAACCGTGACACTTGTAACTGGCGAACGCACACGCACTAGGCCAATGACCCGCAGAACCACACCTCCAGCAAGAGTTTCTAGAATTTTGATTTTCACTACTCCTATGCATGAAAGTTTTAGGCCTATTTTGACTTTTCACATTGATTTTCGCAATGTCCCCACGAGGTTGCACAAATAGGCTTGACTGCGATTCGGCCTGTTCCAGCCTGAGCGCTGACGCATAAGCTTCGTCAAAGTCCAATTCCTCCGACAACAATTTCTGCCGGATAGTTTCATTAGAAATGCCGGAAATCACTTTGTCCCTCAAAGCGTCTTTCAAAAAGGTACCAAATTTGCACGAACTAGCCAAATGTTTTATTGAAACCACAAACTCCGCTATGCTTTCGCCCGGCTTTTGCACACGAGAGTAGAATACATATCGCTCCGCCACAACCAACTTCTTGGGCGCATAATGTAATTTCAACAACGCTGCAAGTTCATCATAGGTCTTAGAATCTACCTCTACCGGTGATAATAAATCGGATAGGACCGATAAAACCCTGGGACCAATAACTGTAATTAAAACCGACACCTCGTTTTCCTTCTTGACATTGTTCGCTTTGAAAAAATGTTTCAGGCGCAACAAATAGGGCACAATGTCCTCCTCACTTGGATTAAATTCAGAAATCCTGCCAACACTAATACTCGCCATTTTTAATCATCTCCACTATAATACGCACTAAAACAACAACTGTTATCGCGTACTACCCTAACTATGATAAAAAGGTTTATTACCGACTGCGCCAAATTGTCGTAACCTAACGTTACGCTAGAAAAGTGGACGATATAGCAAGAGAACCACTTACGTTCGTTGGTGGACATAGAAGAAGGAGCCGTGACGAATCATCCCACTTCAGGGCTCAGTGCACAGTGCAGCCACCCCGCAAAACATAATAACTCTTCCGTTACTAATAATTATAACTGTTCATATATGAAACTATAATGACTTCTACTACACTCGTCTTCCCCATAAAAAAAAAGTCAATATCATAAATTCAAAATTAACTCAACTTTCAAAATAAAATAAATTCACTTTCAATAAAATGCAACCAAAATTTCTTCTTCCCATTATTCATTAATAATTTTACAAGTCCAGCCTGTGAGGCTTTCGCACAGTCCGTGCAGACTTCCTCAGCGAGGGTGGTGGGCTGCACTGTGCTAGCGGCGACGCAGGAGTTGGCTGAGACTGGGCTTGCCCTAGGCTCTCCCTGGGACTGGTCGTAGGCCTAGGTACAGGTGACATCATCATGGGACTGGTTGGTCGATCCTCCGGCGGGGGTGAATTCTTGGGTACTTGGGGTGATACAACGGGGTCCTTGGGTGATACAAAAATCTCCTCCTCTTCTGCATACCGAGCTCTCAAGTGATCCGCATGACAAAATCGGGGTTTTCCACCAATAACACTCACCAGATAGGTGACCGGACTTCTCTTTAGAATTATTTTGCCAGGAACCCAAGATATCTTTTCATTTCGGACAGTTTTGACATAGACTGCCTGACCTTCTGAGAAAAATCTGCTTCTTCCCCTAAGCCTATCAGCTGCATCTTTTTGTTCCCTGTGTTTTTGATCAATGGATGACTGGAGATTGGGTTTTAACATAACCAACTGAGTACGAGGCTTCCAAGACAGGAACATTTCTGCAGGGGTTAAGCCAGTAACTGTATTTGGAGTGTTGCGGTACGCAAACAAGAAATTATCTAATTTCATTTGAAGAGTGGTACGCTGAGAACGCTGATGTTCCTCAATCACTTGACGCAAAAGGTTTTTCTTGACCTCCTGAACACTTCTCTCTGCAGATCCATTTGAAGCCGCATGATACGGGGGAGTTAATGTGAACTTCACATTGTTGTTATGCAAAAAGGTCTTGAACTCTTGACTAGTAAAAGATCTTCCGTTGTCCGACACCAGTTCAACAGGCAATCCATACGATGAAAACAAGGTACGGAGTTTCTCGATAACCTTGGAAGAATTCATGGAACTCATGATAAATACCTCTAACCATTTAGAGTATGTGTCAATCAAAACTAAAAGTTGCTGTCTCGACTCTGGATCCTCCGCAAAGTCAATGTGTATCCTCTGCCATCGAGTTGATGTTGTAGGCCATTGCTGCAACGGTACTTTAGGTACCGAATTCCTAGTTAACTGACACGCAGAACAAGAGGCCACCACGTCTTCAATCGACTTCTCCATGCCTGGCCACCAGACATAACTTCTCGCCAGCATCTTCATGCGTGTAACTCCCGGGTGTTGATCATGCAACATTTGAAGCACAGATGAATACAGTTTCTTTGGAATCACTACACGAGAACCCCACAGCAAACAACCTTGTTCCACGGACAACTCGTCCTTCTTCCTTAGAAAAATAGCTAGTTCTGGCTCAACCGAGCTCGTCCAGCCGTACATCACAAAATCTCGGACCTTCGAAAGAATCGGATCCTTATCCGTCATTTTACCTATATGCAAGGCAGTAATAGGTGCAATGTCCTTGACAACACAGAAATTGTTCATCACTTCTGTACACACATCTACATGTGAAACAAAATTAGCATCCAGCTCTATAGGTTCCGCTTCTGCTAAGGGTAACCTAGACAACGCATCAGCGTGAGGGACATCCACTCCCTTCCGGTACCTAACCTCCAAATCATATGCTGATAGAATCAAGGCCCATCTCTGCAGCCTAGCTGCCGCCATACTAGGAACGCCCTTTTTAGAGCCAAAAATAGCCGTCAACGGCTGATGATCAGTCTGTAGAATACAGTGTCTTCCATATATATACTTATGAAACTTTTTGACTCCAAAGATCAAAGCCAGAGCCTCCCGATGTAACTGAGAATAATTCCGTTCACTGGAACTTAGCGTTTTCGATGCGAAGGCAATTGGCCTTTCCTGACCATCGATAAGATGAGATAGAACAGCAGCCACCCCCCTGGGACTCGCATCACACGTCAGAACTATGGGCTTTTTAACATCATAGTGAACTAACAAACTTGAGTCCAACACCCATGATTTACTCTCCTGAAAAGTCTTAGAACACACCTCCGACCACACCCATGGATGATCCTTATGTAATAAGTCATAAAAACAGCTTATTCTAGCAGACAGGTTAGGTATAAATGCATGATAATAATTTATTAGACCAATATAGGCTCGTAACTCTTCCTTAGTACTAGGCTCAGGCGCTTTACGCAGCGCAGTTAACAAACTTTCTTGTGGACGGAGACCATCTCGAGTAATCACATGTCCTAAATACTCGATTGAAGATTGCAAAAACTTACACTTTTGTTGGTTTACTCGAACACCAAACTCATCAAGGCGTTGCAGCACCTGCGCCAGACGGGCAAGCCCCTCTTCCTTAGAGCGAGCCGCCACTAAGACGTCATCTAAGTACGCCACCGTTCCTGGAAGACCTGTTAAAATTTGGTCGATGGCTGACTGAAAAATTGCAGGAGCTGAAGACAAACCATATGGTAGCCTTTTTAAACGATACAGACCCTTATGGGTAGCTAGGGTCAACAGATGTTGCGATTCATCCGCTACCGCCAATTGCTGATACGCATTTGAAAGATCAAGGCAGCTAAAAACTGAGCAACCGCCTAGAGTTGCAAAAATATCTTGAGCCTGTGGAAGCGGATAATGTTCCATTTCAATACACTGATTAAGAGTAATCTTATAATCGGCACAAAGCCTAACACCATTAGGCTTAGGGACAACCACAAGTGGAGTGCTCCACTGTGAATTAGTAACTCTGTACGCAACATCCTCTTGAACCATGCGGTCCAACTCACTCTCAACTTTCTCCCTTAACGCAAAAGGCACTGGTCTCGCCTTACAAAACTTAGGGACTGTCCCCTCCTTTAAGACAATATGAGCCTTAACACCCTTAATTTCGCCCGTTCCAGGCTGAAAAACTGACTTAAATTTACTCTTCAATTTAGCAATGTCCAAATCAGAACTGTGATCCACAGTGGCTTTACATGAAAACACATTTTGCCAATCTAACCTCAACTGGCCTAACCAGTTTCGCCCCAACAGAATCGGCTGACTCTTACTTTCTAAACTAACTACTGTCAAAGGCAAACTCGCCTGCTGATTATTATATTTAACATTGACATTCACTTGCCCCAGAACAGGTACATCATGACCTGAATAAGTAGTAAGTTTCACATTTGCTGGCCTAAGTTTGAGGTTAGAAAATTTTTCATAAAATATCTCAGAAGGACATATAGTCAAGGCACTGCCTGTATCTAGAATCATTTCTAAATATACATCATTAGCCACTAGGCCTACCTTATAGCCGTTGTCTGATCCTGATTTAAGGTTGTACAGACCTATGTCTGCCATTGGAACTTCTAGGCCTAGGCCTACCTCTTCCTCCACTTGATGGACCCCCATCCTAGGTGTCGACTTTTTACCATGGAAACTAGAAGATTTCTTGGCTTTACACACTTTCTTGAGATGACCTACTCTCTGACAACCGTGACACTTGTAACTGGCGAACGCACACGCACTAGGCCAATGACCCGCAGAACCACACCTCCAGCAAGAGTTTCTAGAATTTTGATTTTCACTACTCCTATGCATGAAAGTTTTAGGCCTATTTTGACTTTTCACATTGATTTTCGCAATGTCCCCACGAGGTTGCACAAATAGGCTTGACTGCGATTCGGCCTGTTCCAGCCTGAGCGCTGACGCATAAGCTTCGTCAAAGTCCAATTCCTCCGACAACAATTTCTGCCGGATAGTTTCATTAGAAATGCCGGAAATCACTTTGTCCCTCAAAGCGTCTTTCAAAAAGGTACCAAATTTGCACGAACTAGCCAAATGTTTTATTGAAACCACAAACTCCGCTATGCTTTCGCCCGGCTTTTGCACACGAGAGTAGAATACATATCGCTCCGCCACAACCAACTTCTTGGGCGCATAATGTAATTTCAACAACGCTGCAAGTTCATCATAGGTCTTAGAATCTACCTCTACCGGTGATAATAAATCGGATAGGACCGATAAAACCCTGGGACCAATAACTGTAATTAAAACCGACACCTCGTTTTCCTTCTTGACATTGTTCGCTTTGAAAAAATGTTTCAGGCGCAACAAATAGGGCACAATGTCCTCCTCACTTGGATTAAATTCAGAAATCCTGCCAACACTAATACTCGCCATTTTTAATCATCTCCACTATAATACGCACTAAAACAACAACTGTTATCGCGTACTACCCTAACTATGATAAAAAGGTTTATTACCGACTGCGCCAAAATGTCGTAACCTAACGTTACGCTAGAAAAGTGGACGATATAGCAAGAGAACCACTTACGTTCGTTGGTGGACATAGAAGAAGGAGCCGTGACGAATCATCCCACTTCAGGGCTCAGTGCACAGTGCAGCCACCCCGCAAAACATAATAACTCTTCCGTTACTAATAATTATAACTGTTCATATATGAAACTATAATGACTTCTACTACATTAAGTGGAGTCAATATTCATAGTACAGTAACCAATCTTTCGTAAATACACAAATACCATTAGCTGCTTCCAAACAAAACAGCTGTTACAACACCACTTGCGACGTTGCCAGTTTCATGGCCGCGACCTGGAGATAAAGGCGGCCGTGGTACCTGTGTATCTATAAAAAAAAATATATTGACATTAACAAACAACAAATTGCTTAATAGTTTGTCTGGAATGGTACTGCCCCACTCATCCTATACTCATCTCCATTCATACTTGGCTTGAAATACTTACCTTTGTATGGTCGCCATTTCAAAGTAAAATATCAAAGTACTGGTGTCTTTGCAAGTCACGACGAAAACACAACCTACCTCTGTATACAAATTTCTTAAATATTCAGACACACACCTGTCCAGCAATTGATGGTATTGGAATCTCCGTAGTATTTTTGAAAAGTCTTCAGCACTCCATGGTCTGGGATGAGGTTGGTAATTGTCAGTTGCTTGGTCGGGGTTGAACTGACGCTCTAGAAGCCAGCTAAGTTGGTAGCTGCTTGAGTGTGAGTCGTGCCATCTCACGTTCACTTTGTCATTGGCTAGCTATAAACACCATTTACAGTTTTGGTTATTAATTAAATTAAGTGTTTAATTTTATAATTAATTATTAATTTTTCATTAAAGGTAATTATAAATTATGAGGTAGACTGCTTATTTTTTTATTTAGGCTGGTCACAACATGTTTTGTTTTGTTTATTAGTCTAAATCAAATTGAGCTATTTGTGGGGCTCACCCCCACAACCTGAATTACCTAAACTCAAATGTCCTGCCAAGAAGGCACTCTTCAACCCAGGACTGTGTACGCGCATGCACAGCAAGCACATCGCGTGAGTAAAGTAAGCCAGGAATTTGTCTTGCTGTTGTTGCCGAAGGACTAACATGGCGGTGGAGTAGAGGATGGGATATGGGGTAAGGCCCCATGTGAGGTACGGAGGTAGTTATTTAATCAGTCTAAATTTCCATAAATATTCTTTGCAGATTCAACAATTAATAATGTTTAGGTTTATTTCCAATGTCACCCTTTAATACCAATATGAAGTTCAATTAATAGTTCACGTTGTGTCCAGCCGTTTGATTTGTAATTGTAACATTCATTGAAAGATAATTCTATTTTTGTAGTAAAAAAGCTTGAATTAACATTAGTAATCATCAAAGCTGGCTCTTTGGGCCTGTGATTTGCGGGTAAATTGTCTCCTCTGATTAAATTTAAGGGTTAAGCCAACACTTTTTAACATCAACGATTATGTCAAATTGCCAGTCAATTCACACATAACCTCCCCTATGTGGCCCCACCGCCACATACTTATTGAGATTTTTTATTGAATATGTTAGATTATAAACTTGACACAATACAGATTTAGTTGATTAAACTGAACCAAAATAACCCGGTAAATTAATACAAAAATTTTGTTTAGGTTCTTTTTTTAAATAGATTTTTGACTTCACTAGTCCCAACCTACAGGGTAAGCTATAGAAATTGCAAAATTATAAACATTGTGATATAAATTAATGATGCTATGCAAAAGGTTGACGTTAGATTACGAGAGCAGAGTTTGGAGCGTTCCCGTACAAAAGAACTTAAAAACGCTACAAGTGTAGTTAGATGCTATACTTATACTTAAACACGCCACATTGTGTAGTAGGCTATGCTATACTTATACATAAACAATGAATAAGAATTCAGCCTGAAATTTGAATCTACAGTGATAAAGATAAAATGCACCATTTTCTAATCCTAATCCAGCTAAATATTCTGCTGGAAAAAAACGTTGTAAATAATTTTATTTTTATTTTACACTTATGAAACTTTGAAGAAACACTTTCTTCCCAATCCCCGGCAAGTCCCAAATATATTTTTTAACCTTAAGCTTTTGTTCAGAGATATATTTTCTTGGTTCCAAAAAAGAAAAGACAAATGTAGAGTATTTTTAGTACAAACACAATATCAAAACAAAATTTACTCACTTGTATCAAACGAATGAAACCTTAATATCTAAGCTTTATTATTGGACTATAAAATTATAAGGAATTACCACTAACAAATCCACTTACTGTTGCTTCCAAAGGCTGAGCGTTGAAGTCAAAATGCTCAATGTCGATGATTCTCGAATGAGAAGCTTCATGAAAGCACGAGCCGCACTGACAATTGTCCCTGAGCCAAAGGTAAGGAAAGCGATGTTCCTTCTTCTCATCTTTCAAAACTAAATCATCATCTCTGGTTTCCACTGTCCAAATTAACCTTGTAAAATCTTTAAGTTTGGCCCTTAAAACTCTAAGGGACAACATTTTCTCGATTACTACTTACACTGCATAAAGTTTATTTCGTGATATCTTTTAAGTTGAAAATGAAACATCCAGTACCGGTAGTTTTAGTAGACACGGTTCTCTAACTACTGATCACTCACTGGCCAAGATGAAACTAAAACTGTCCACTCACTATCATTAGCATCAAATAGTCTTGTTGACAACAAATGATGAAAGGTCATTCCACAAGTCAAACAACAGCATTAGTTTATTCACTGTTAGGGAGCCTGACTTGGAATTTTTGAAGTTAAATACAAATAAATTTCAAGTCTACAACAATATTATTTGCACAGACATGAAACTCTTGTATTAATGTGCAATTTTTTGTATATTAGAATGTCAAAAGTAAAACTAACTTTTGATTGATATTGATAGTTGAACAATTAAAATTGAACTAGTTTGAAAGGTTCAATATTTTACTTACACTATAATCAGATTGTTTTATTAGTCTAAAAACTAATAAAGTTAAACCAAATGGTTTCTGGGGTTTCTGGATGTAAAAGAAAATTTCCAAAACCTTCATGTGGCAATACAATATAAAATGTAATTTAATTTATTTCTTCAGATTTTGATTCCTTTTAGTGGCCTATTATTTGAAAAATGTATTTATAGTAGACCAGTTCACAAACATTTTTGTGTTGTTAAAAACTAACAGTATTTTCTGAACATTAACTTACACATAAATATTTTGCTGTGATTGTCCTTCAATCTTATTTTGTTATCAACTACATTTTTGTAACACAGTAAACTATTTTAATTTACACAACCAAACCAACTACAGTATTATCTTTTAGATAAGCTTACAAATATTTTCAGTCACAACTATTACATAGCAACTACACACCACACTACACTAGTGGCACACACTGTACATGTTTGTGTGTGAGAGAGAGATAGTGATATAGTGGAAGGGGAAGAGGCAACTTTCTTTAAACTACTTTCTAATTCTGGGTCAACTATAGTTTAGAATCCAAACATCCTAAATCCAAACATGGTAAAAGTTGCCATTGCATCATAAATTTAAAGTTGGACAACACCAGTACTTGACCTTGATTAGAAATGGTTTCCTCTACTAAATTTTAGCCTTCAATTAAATTATCTTTCTGGAGATAATTATTAGTTTTTTGAGAGAACTCTAAAAATCATCCATATTTATTTTTTAAATGGACAAGACGTAAGTTTAAAACAAAACAAATAAGATAAAATCTATGTTTGCTTACTTTGTTGTATAAAAACTTTTAGTGGAGGACTTGATTTGTTGTACTAGGAATAGTTTTGGTTCAAAGCAAAATAGTTTGACTATTTTATGAAATTGTTTCCTAAAACACAAAAAAGTGAAACATTGGAATGTTATATGAAAACTTTCAAATTAGTTTGGTAGCATTTTGTCCGCTTTGTAGCATTTTGTTGGTAGTCATAATTTATTTTACTTGTAGGGTCAAAAAATACAAAGAGATTTCAACATATTTAAAAATATTTTTCCCATTCAGCAGAAAATGGGGGATATCAAAAGATAACTATGAAGTGTTTAAAAAGGAAAATAGTTTGACACTTTAAAGTAGTTTGTGAAAAAGGTTTAATTTATTACAACAATAGGGAACGTAACAAGTAATTTATGAGTGAGGAGATCTATCAGTCTATACTTCCATTGTTTGTGCTTTCGACTGTAACTTTAAGCTTCTTCACCCTTAACATCAACTGTTCAATGTTTTCTCGCCTAGAATCAAACAGTAACAATGAAGGTAAAAATGAACAGTATCAGCAACCTGACATATACTTTCTCCCATTAGCTTGTTAACAACCCTTATAATTAATAAGCGGTGGGAGTAAATATGATATTTAAGGATCAAATCACAAAAGTTGGAATATCTTTTGAACCATAGTTTCTTTTAGGCTTGCACCATTTTGTTTACAGTTAAATGGACCATAAACTTAAACAAACACAAAACTTCAATGACAATTTTTCAAACCAATTTATTTTAGTTAAAATTCAACTTTTATGTTGTTTGAAAAAATTAAAATAAAAATCTTTATAGTTTAAGCAAATTAAAAAAACAAACAAAGGGATTATTAAAAAATCCAAGAAAACATTTTATGGTTTTATTTTGTAGTGTTGGGTGTGCAGAGTGTTTTACTAAAAGTTGGCTAAAATCGGTGCACGGAAAAATCCCTAACATCACGATAAAAAATGTGACTGTATTTTTAGTTTGCTTAGAATATAAAGATTTTTAAATTTTTTTTTAATTTTCTCATATTTGTCAAAATATATTTTGTTGGATAACTTCAGCTTCGTGTACAGCACTCCTAAAAGTATAAACTAAGCCTTAAAAAACAATTACCTATAAACTTTCCACTTTAAAATACCCTTTTACTGGACTATATAGTCTGTAGCTCTGTACAAATCCACACACATACGCAAACACACATACTTCATTTTGAAAAGCAACTGAACTCACTAGCTAGTAGTGTGAATTCTAATGTCAAATTGGAAAGATTTGGATTTTTGTGAATTAAAATATTGCAATAACACAAAATTTGCCTGTTTAATTAATTATTCTTTTAAACATTTAATTAACTAATTTTGTGTACATTAGACTCTTGATAATCTACCTGAACGCTACTTTTCTGATCAAATACTTCAAAGAAAATATAATTCTTGTTTCTAAATATTACTCACAACTCATTTTAAATCAAAACTTAAGGCTATGAAAAATTAAATATAAGGAACCCATGAAATAAAGCTTAGGCTTAATTCTTACAAAGCCTACTGACACAAAATTATCAGTAAATACTAATTTCATACTTACATATCACTTAAGCTTTCTTTCATTAGAGCTGCTTTGTTCTTATCCAGATGCAGAGGCTTTGTTTGTTTCTTGACAGTTTCAGTTTGAACTTGTACCTATAACAAAGTGTATAAATAAAACAGTAGACCTACCTGTAATAAAGAATAAGACAAAATCAAATTTTCTCCATTATTTCATTCAAAAATACAATAGGCCTATTTTAAATCTTTGTGTGATGTGAGCTAATCAAACTCACACCCTGTTGTGGGTGTACAAAATATATAATTATTTATAAATCAATCTCTTCTGCTGTTCTTGTGAATATTATCATTAGCCGTCTTTCTCTGCATATCAGCTCGGAAACCACAATGAAGGATTCTTCCAACCGGCTCTGAATTATTTTAGTTTCGTAACTGCTTACTCAGAAACTCAGAAGACGAAGACATACTAACTAAGTTATCAAATGCCAATAAGTGTTGGGGAGCCTGCAAGAAGTTGATCTCATCTAAAGTATTATCTCACAGAACCAAAATACAGTAATATAAGACAATAATTCAACCTATTCTGTTATATGGTAGTAAAACATGGGTATTGTCCAAGAAAAATGAAAACCGACTCATGGTGTTTGAAAATAAAGTAATAAGAAAAATATTTGGTCCAGTACAGGAGGGACAAATGTGGAGAATAAGGAAAAATAGGGAGTTAAGATCACTATACACCGACCCAGATATTGTTGCAATAGTTAAAGGAAAAAGGTTATGTTGGATAGGGCATGTGCTGGGCATGTGCTAAGAAGAGAGAAAGGAACAAGACTGTATGAAGTTTGGAGAGCCACACCTGGAGGTAAACGTCCATTGGGAAGGCCGAAATTGAGATGGACTGACCAAGTATTGAACGACATCAGGACAATGGGTGCAAGTGTCAACTTGGCAGAAGACAGAGAAGGGTGGAAGAGGCTGGTACACGAGGCGAAGAATCAACTGAGATTTGTGGAGCCACGGCAGTAAGTAAGTAACTGCTTACTAGATATGCAGTTAAGTCTGCGCTACACAGACATAAAAAGCACAAAATGTTGTGCAAATAACACATATTTTGCTAAAATTTGCTATTGACAAAACTTTTGTAAAAATATTTTACCTGATTTCTGTAATAATTCATTTTTGCTTTGGACTCCATTAGGTTGAGTTTTATGTCTTCCACTCTCTTCTTTAGAGCAATCAGATCTTGAGCAGCCTTCCTCTCAGACCATGAACTGTTTTTACATCTGTTTTGCAGTTTTTCAAAGACTTCTTTCAACCTTAAAGAAAACAATTCTTAATCGTTGAAGAGAGAAAAACATTCTCATCTACTTATGGGTATTTGATATTGAACCCAATACAAAATCAGGTTCAAGCTGCAAGTCCAGTAGCAACAACCCTTTTCGGCTGTATACTTATGCCTACTTAAGGTTAGGAATTAGGATTGTAAAACTCTGGCTCGCTCCTGCTGAATGAAGGAAAATTTTAACTTGAAAGGATTAGGCAACAAGAAATGGTGGAAATAAGAAAACATAAGTTACTTATTAGCTCATCTGTAAAATTGATAACCATGATCATCTAACTTAATCAAGTCCCAACAATTCTATATTCGTGGCATAGTTTTACGAGGTTGAAGGTTCTTCCATATCTAAAAAATAAATCAGATACTAAATCAGATCTAGGAAAATATTACTGAAATATGTACCTATATACACATATTATGAGTTTTAAGCGTCAAATTAATTTACACAAATTTATTGATTATACCTCATAAAAGTGGGGCCCTGTGTCTCCTTTATTCGGTGTTACTGATTGTTGAATAAGCTAAAATCAGTTTCTGCTTAATTTTTAAATCAACAAAAGCTATTAATAAATATATAACTCTTGATGGTTGACAGCTTTAACTGCATAGTAAACAAAACCATATGCTAAGATTTTCATACCTTATTTGTAGCTGAAGGTCCTTTGACGAAGCTTCAGCCCTTGCAACTTCTAGCCTATGAAGGTTTTCTCTGAGCTCTTCACGAGACGACAGCAAATGCTGAATCTGTTTCTGCTGACACAAAAGCTGACATCGTTGTTGGTCCATCCTGAAAAGAGAGAATCGAAACTGAACCTCTGTTCATGTGTTCCATAGTTTGAAACTTAAGTAACATTGTCCTCTTTAAAACAACAATCTCTAGGGAAATAGGTCATTTAATTACCCCAGTAAAATTTGTAACTATAATTAAAATTAAGCAAAATTCCTCATATCAAACTTAATCATGGTTTGAGACCACATCACGGGGCCGATTTACCGAATAGGCATGGTAGGCACGTGCCTAGGGCGCGAGACAGTTTGCTTTTTTGAGGGGCGCCAAAAAATTTGAAAATAAAAAAAATTGTGGCTGTATTTGCATGCAATTGCGGTAAACTGATAATCCCTCGCGACCGTGTAGACATCTCAACAGTCTCCCGCAATTGCGGCAAGATGTTAATTATTTCCTGCGGTTATACATCATTATCATGCGATTATACGTCATCATCGTCCGTCTACCGTAATGGCGGCCAAATTCTGACTATTTCCGGCGGACGTGTGGACATAATTTTCGTCTTACTTGATCAATGCAATATATGAACACATCTCGCGGTCGTGAAGAGATTATACTCATCTTCTCCTGATGAGGCAAAATTCTGAATATTTCTGGCGAACGTGTGGACATAATTAACGTCTTCCTTGATCGCAGCAATATATGAACATATCCCGCGGTCTTGAGATTATCACCGTCTACCACGAATGAGGCAAAATTCTAATCTTTTCCTGGGGTCGTGTAGACATTATCATCTTCTTGCGCGATCACGATAAAATACTGATAATCCCTCACAGCCGTGAAGACATCATCGCCTCCCGCGGTCGTGAGGCATTATCATCCTTTCACGCTACATTGGGGCAAATGGTAATCATCTCCCGCGGTCGTTTGGAGATCATCATCGTCTTTCGCGAATGAGGCAAAATTCTGATCTTTCCCGTGGTTGAGTGGACATTATCATCTTCTTACGCTATTGTGTTAAAATTCTGATTATTCCTCGACATCATTATTGTAACTCCCGCGAACCTGTAGACATCGTAATAGTCTCCCGTGGTTGTGAAGACATCGCAATCGTATCTCGCTGTCTGGAAGACATCGTAATCGTCTCCCGTGGTCGTGAAGACATCGTAATCGTCTCCCTCGGTTGTGAAGACATCGTAATCGTCTCCCGCTGTCGTGAAGACATTGTAATCGTCTCCCGCGGTTGTGAAGACATCGTAATCGTCTCCCCGGTCGTGAAGACATCGTAATCGTCTCCTGCGGTTGTGAAGAAATGCGAAATCGCGGTAAATTTTCAATTCCAGGTAGAAATACAAAATTAACGCATAATTCCTGGTTTAAAAAAAATCACAATTAACTCCCGGATTTCCCGGTTGGTGGTCACCCTGTATTGTATATATTGCAAAGGCTAACATAGTCAAAAATGGGCCTGCCACATCATGACCGTAGCCATGAATAGTCAGAATAGTAAGCATGAATAGCATGAATAGTAAGCAAGGGGTGAGCCGGAACAGTGGAAGGGTGAAGTGTACTGATGACAAGTAGTGGCAGGTAGCAGAATCCGAACCCACATCATCGCTACCTTGAGCCACCCACTCACCAAGCTCAAAAAACATAGGTATGCTTAAAAAGCTTATTACAAAACAAATTACAGCCAACTGCTCATTTATGAAGAACCTTAAGTTATAATTTAAAATAATTACTGTCAACACTTCAAAGACCGATAGAATGTAATTATTTCAAATTAAAACAAAACAACACAGTTGGATGATTGTTGTTTTAGTATAAAATAATAAATAATCCCAGAGGGTGTTTGGATGTGTTCTATTTAGCAGGAGATTGCTTGTTAATTGATTTTGTAGACAGTGCTTGGTTTCTACAATGCTGAGAAGGATTGGTTAGGTTGTAAAACCACACAGTATAAGAGAGGAACAAAGCTAAGTTAAACAGTAACTAAACAACAATAAACAAACAGTAACAGTAGCTAAGTTGACACGTCTCGCCATCGTGTCTGTCGGACCACAAAAACAACGCTTTACCTTTACATTGCTACAGATTTGTAAAACAATATACGATACCAGTATAAAATATCTCAGAAAATTAATATCCCTATTTAACCTTTACAAATTCAAGCTAATATGTTTTAGTTGACAAATATTATTAGAAAAAAATACGAAAACCTTATACTTACTTTGCTTCTGTAGCCTCCACTGCCTTTAAATGTCTAGGAAACAGTTCTTCTCGACATAGTTGAGTAAATTTAAAAAGAACCTGCAACCAAAATAACAAATTGTAAAAGGAGTTGTAAAACAGACACTTGGGATTCTGCAGGAACTTGCTGCAAACTACAGGATGAATCAACACTATCTTCTTATTAACTTACTGACTGAACACGCTGAACCTTAATATGTTGAGATCTTCAATAATTACTTGCAAACCTTCTAAAAGTAGGCCAAACTTTAAATCTTACCTCTCTCTTAAACTCCAAATTGTCTCTATCCTCATTATTCTCAACAACAAATTTTGGAGACAGTTTGGTCATCCGAAGAATGTCTTTTATTTCATCTTCAAATGTTACTTTCTTATCCTGAAATACAAAAGAAAATTCATGGTAAAAATATGTCAACTTTCCAAATTACATTTACTGAGCTTTTTTACAGTCAAAGTTTACAGAGTAATAACCATTGTAGTACAGTGCAATTAGCTTAAAAAAAGAGCAATGGGGCGTAAAGAGGGTAATATATGACTCACCAATAATCCAAGGGTGAAGAGTAACAAGAAACACTAGAGAGTAGAGGTGGCACATGGGCGGAAGCCGTGAGTGGATGGCAGACGACGACGTCTTGGGAAGAGGGTAGCCAACTTGTAGGTTGAGTAGAGATGAGGGAAGTGTGCACACTTTTGGGGGTCACTTGTGGGGAATCCAGTAATCCTAATCCACTAAAGTTGGCACTTGACACAGGCACTCGCGACGAAGACGCGGCGGACGTAACTGCTTAGCGGCGGCAGCGATAACATACTAAATAACTTATTTAAGAAAAAAAACACCTTTTACAGAGTTTGACGTCGAGAAAGTTTTATTAGCTGTTCGTGACAAACGATAGAAGAGCGTTAGAGAGTCCGAGAAGCGGTTTTAGAGGTAAAAGTTTATAAATAGAGAAAGACTAACGAAATACGGCGCAATGCACGTATTCAGCCGAGGAGAGTTACATTTCAACTGAACATTATTTTTGGAGGGGGAAGGGACGCTACCTCAATGTTTCTTAGAGGGGTACCGCAAATTTATCCATGTCCATATCACGCCACATTTTTTAACCAATAGGATTCGTCCTGCATCGGGCAACACAGCCGAGATAGTGTGTGTGTTTTATGTAGGCTTGTGTGAGTGAGACTCTAACATTTGATACAACAATACTTAATGAAATTGAAATGAGATTTAAAAATACAGATTTGGTTTGGAAATAAGCTATCACTAATTGAACAATAATTATGATGATAAATATAGTAATAATTAATTAAATACAGAACATCCGGGCCCCCTTGAATCTACTTGGAGATTCAAAACAAAATACAAAGGAACACATTTCAGACACCTAAGACATATAATTATAACTAAAGCTATATACATGAAGTGCTATCAATTGATAGTCTATTCACAACCAAGAGGTAGTGGAAACACTTTTACAGCGGGTCGAGTGAGGATGCCGGTTGCTGTCTTCAAGTGTACCACTCGTACCACATTGTCTTTGCCAGGAGACACATCAATAATGCGGGCCAAAGGCCAGGTCAGAGGAGGGGTAGATTGCTGTTCCACTAACACAAGATCACCGACTTTGAGGTTATCTTGGTGCGAGGCCCACTTCATCCTTTGTTGCAAGGTGTGCAGGTACTCTTGCTGCCATCGCTTCCATATTCGCTGATGGAGTGCCTTGACGAGATGCCAGTGCTTCAGCCTGTTGGTGGAGACGTCTTGGACATCTTCTTCAGGAACCGCAGTTAGAGGGGCGCCGATCAAAAAATGTCCTGGAGTGAGAGGTGTCAGGTCCGAAGGGTCGGATGAAAGCGGAGTAAGAGGGCGTGAGTTCAGAACGGCCTCTACCTGTGTTGACAGAGTAGAAAATTCTGCCAGAGTCAGGATGTTCATTCCGATGACTCGTTTGAGGTGGTGTTTAGCGCTTTTAATGGCACTTTCCCATAACCCACCCTGATGAGGGGCTGAAGGGGGGTTGAAGTGGAAAATAATCCCTTTGGTAGAGACAAAGTCCTTAAATTGGTTTGAAGATTGAGCGGACTTAATAATCTTCTTAAGGGCGTTATCCGCACCTACAAAATTCGTACCACAGTCGCTGTACAAGTTGGTACTTAACCCTCTTCTTGAGACAAAACGAGTTAAAGCCGCTAGGAAGGCATCTGTAGTCATATCTGTCACTACTTCGATGTGCACGGCCTTAGTAGCCATACAAACGAATATGCACAAGTAGACCTTAACGTGTCTGATTGAGCGTAAGTTGTGGACTTTAACAATAAAAGGGCCACCATAATCCATTCCAGTTGAGATGAATGGTCTGGCAGGAGTGACACGAACTTTGGGTAAATTACCCATTTGAGGCGCCTTGTTTCGGGGTCTATTTTTAAAACAAGGGATACATTTGAATATGCGTGAGCGGATAACACTACGCGCACAGAGGATCCAGAACCTTGAGGCTAAGAGAGATTGAGTGAGTTGAGGTCCGGCATGAAGATGTGTTTTGTGACAGTCATCTATGATAATATCTACAACATGGTGCCTTTTGGGGAGCAATACGGGATGAACGCTGTCATAGGGGAGCGAAGAATTCTTAATGCGGCCGCCTACACGAACTATTCCGTGCTCATCGAGAAAGGGTGACAAGCGTTTATACTTAGAATTGCAGTTTTCTGATTTCTGGAGATTGGCGATTTCTTCAGAAAAACATGATTTTTGAACAAGTTGGATAATTTTTGTGGTTGATGACTTGAGTTCATTTGTAGTGAGAGAACTTGTTCGCAGCTTGTTCGATCTTCTCGCGTTGTAAATGAAGCGAAGGATGTAAGCTGTAATGCGTACGAGTTTAGTCCACGAGGAAAATCTTGTCAAAAGTTCCCATTCAGGGTTGGTGTTCGAAGTGAAGACAAAAAGTTCAGCCACTTTTGTTTCTTCTGAGCTATCTAAATTTACAGGTGTAAATTGTCTATTAGGCCAGTCTTCGCAAGGTTGAGAGAGCCAAGATGGCCCGGTCCACCACAAGGGGTGATTTTGGAGATGAGTGGCAGTTATTCCCCGAGAGGCGCAATCTGCGGGGTTATCCTGACTGGGTATGTAACGCCAGCAATGTGAGGGGAAAAGTTCTTGAGTCTGAGCTACTCTGTTCGCCACATAAGTTTTCAGTCTGTATGGTGGTGTTTGAAGCCATGTTAGAGTGATGGAAGAGTCACACCATAGAACAGTGCGAGAGAATGTTACTTTATTCGTAAACATAGAGAGGCAGTATGATGCTAGTTGAGCAAGGAGATGAGCAGCACATAGCTCGAGACGAGGTAGAGTGACTCGTTTTAGAGGAGATACACGAGTTTTCGCCAATATTTGACGTACAGTGACATCACCGGATGAGAGTTTGCATCTGAAATAGAGAACTGCGGCATAACCGCTTTCTGAGGCATCTGAGAAGCCGTGAAGTTCAATAGCGCTTGAAACTGAAAACTGGAATGCTCTGGGGATCTGAATATTGGAGAGAGATTGAGTATTAGTTACAAAGTTTTGCCATATTGAAGTTAAGTCACTTGAGAGCTCTTCGTCCCAGCCTAATCCTTTGGTCCAGAGCAGCTGTATAAAGCATTTTGCTTGCATTGTACACGGAGCTAGAAAGCCACACGGGTCGTAGATTTTAGCAACCAAGCTGAGCACACGACGTTTGGTGGGTGTCTCATTAGCTGCATCAGAGAAATTTATATTGAAGGTGAAACAATCAGAAACTGGTGACCAATGCAGTCCTAATATTGAAAATAGAGGTTCTTTAGCATGTTCCAGAAATACAGGTAATTCAAGATGTTCTTGGGGCAGAGCTTGAAGGAGTTCCTTAGCGTTGGATGACCACTTCCGGAGTTCAAATCCACCACGGGACAGAAGGCTAATTATCTGGCTTTGAAGTTCTAAAGCATCTTCGACCGTGTCAGCACCTGAGATTATATCATCAACATACGTATTTGAAGTTAAAACTTGAGCAGCAGCAGGAAACGCCTCACCCTCGTCTTTAGCTAGCTGATGAAGCGTTCTAATAGCGAGATAGGGGCTGCTGTTGACCCCATATGTGACTGTAGCCAGCTGGTAGGTGGAGAGGTCCTGGGAAGAGTTATTACGCCATAAGATAAGCTGGTATTTCTGATCGTCTGGATGTACTAATATTTGACGATACATTTGACGAATGTCACAAGAGAAAACAATGTTGTAGGACCTGAAATGGAGCACAATGTCACAAATGTTCGTCTGGAGCTTAGGACCTGTGAGTAAGATGTCATTTAGCGACAGTCCAGAACTGGTCTTGCTACTAGCATCGAACACAGTACGAAGTTTTGTAGAGCTACTATTTTCTTTCAAAACTCCGTGGTGGGGAAGATAATAGTGAGGGGAGGTTAAATCGACAGTCTCAATATTGGTCATGTGACCGAGAGAGAGATATTCATCCATAAACGCAACGTACATGTCACGGAATGAGCTTTGAGCGGCAAACTTACGCTCTAAAGAATACAAGCGTCGTTGCGCAGGGAGGTAAGAGGTCCCCAAGGGAGGATGATTAGCCTTGAATGGCAATCTAACCACATACTGGCCGTTCTGGTTGCGTGTGTGGGTTTCAGAGAAATGTTTGTCACACTGTTGCTCCTCTAAAGTCTTACTACTGCACTGTGGGATCTCTTCTTGGGTCCAAAATTTTTGGATAGAGGAATGGAGATCATTATCACTGGTAGAGAGAAAAGAAGAATATGTGCACGGAGCGGAGGAACTTATATCTGCAACAGGGGCGGATCCCATCACAACGAATCCAAACTTTGTGCCAATAAGGTATGGCATGTTTGCACCAATTGAATGTGTTTGGTGAGTAAGAATGAGAGGAAACAGAGAGACGCCTAAAAGAACGTCAATACCACTTGGTAAATGAAAAGTGGGATCAGCTAGCACGTAAGGTTTTACCATTTTAAACACTTCCGGTGCAAGGCGAGAGCGGGGAATATCAATAGCGATCTTGTCCAAAATATGGAATGGGTGCTGAGATGCAACATTGTTGTCACTGAGAGTAGCTAAATTTAGCCGAGTAATCCCTTTAGTTTGGGAGGTTGTGGCAGAGATGCCGACAATTGTGTGGGTCGACTTATGTCTTGGGGTTTCCAGGAGCTGAGCGGCACGCTCACTGATGAAATCACACATACTACCTGAATCGAGTAGGGCACGAAACACATGAGTATGTCCGGTGGAGGATGTCAACTTGACAAGAGTTGTACCAAGGAGGACTGTAGATTGTGATGAAGTCTTATGATTAAACGTGTTTTGAGCGGATGCCGTGACTGAGCTGGGTC